GCTATTTGTTGAGTGTTTGTTGATTTTTTATAAAAAATACACTATGCCGCGACAAACTGGTGTAGTATTCAAAAGAAAGGGTAGAAAAATTGTGTACGACGTATCTTGTTTCATTATAAAACAGAGGAAGAATGATATTATGGAAAAAGTAAAACAGACTTCGGAAGCAACAAAAACATCAGTGAGTACTGTTAGGTGCATTATTAACGAAGCTAAAGGCTCTGGCTTGCTCATCGTGCTTGGGACTCCGGGTAAGAAAAGATCAGGGAAGAAGAAAGTTACCGGAATGGATAGTTTCGTTCAATCTGTAATAAAAAGATGTAATCATAATAACTACATAACAAGCAGCGAAACTCCGTACCGTAGAAAGGCTTCGAAAATTTTAAAGAAGATATACATTTTAATGGCTCGGAATGAAGTTTACGACGAATTATGAAAGAGCTAGGCTTCAGATGGAAAAAAAAAAAAAAAAATAATCGGAAGCTGGTAATTGAAAAAAGTAACATTCGATTACTACGAATCGAATATCTTCAAAAAATAATTAATTATAGACAAAAAAGAAGATCGAACCGACCGAGTCGTAAACTACACCGATGAGCCCTATGTCGACTTATCACGATGATGGCGACTCGGGTGATGAAAACAGTGATGATGATAATGGTCAAGATTATGATAACGAAAAAAAAATTACAAATACCAGCTTCGCTTCAACTGAACGAAGACCTGGCAACAGCTCTAGTTTTGACTTAATAGAAGGAATATCTATTTTACCCCAAGATTAAATTATTACAATTATTAACCTATATTTTTTGTTGATGTTCTAATAAATATATAAATAAATACATATGTTGATTTTAATAATTTAATATCATTATGACGCAGAGTAAGTAATGTTTTTGCACGTGAGTGTACCATGCGCAAACTTACCCCCACTACGTCAACAAATGCTCAAGAAGTTTGCCGGCTATTATACTAAACAAATGTTCACCAATTACTGCCAAGCAGAAGGAATAACATCGTGTAATGAAATTCATACCTGCAAAAATTATGATTATATAGGTAGTATCTAGTAGCGTCTTGTGAGCCCGCAGGAGTAGGTAGTACCACCCTGCCTTCTGCCGTGAAGCAGTAATGCGTGTCGATTTGAAGGTTTTTTTTTTATCCTACCTAACCTTGCCTTGAGAGGCTATTTCAGAGTAAACTTAACTAGTAGGTGAGCTCACGTGGCTTAAACCTGACGACGTTGCTAGCACGAACCCTAGCAAGAGCCGTGCTTCGCAGAATCTACCACCGGATCGGAAACGCGACCCACTGAGAAGATCGGGTGAGAAACTCAGTGGGCTGTGTTTGAGGGTGATTTGAAGGGTGGGGCAGCCGTTGCACTGAGATTTAAAACTTACGTCTCAAGGTGGGTGGCAACATTTATGTTGTTGATGGCTATAGGCTCCAGTGACCACTTAACACCAGTTGGGCGGTCAGCTTGTCGATCCATCTCATAAATAAATCGATCGAAGTACCTAGTACAGCCGAATGCAAGCACTAGTTCACTTGCATTGAATTATCCACAATAAATAATTCTGTAGCCTTTTATTTTTATTCGCTATGTGGATGCGGCATGCAGGATGATTTTTGAAAACTAGAATTCACAGCCAGAAAAAGCAGTATTAATTTCCTTTAGAATAAACTACAGTCAAACGGGGTGAATGGATACGGAATTGAACTTTGAGTTCATTTATCACTAGTAATGGCTGAAAATATTATATTGATATTGGTATCAATATTTGAGTCGCATCCTGAAGATTCTTAAGGACTTTACACGGAACCATGTAAAGCATCCAGTTTTAAAATTTTCTTCAAATTATAGGCCTTCCCTATTTAAACACGAAATGGGGCTATTAGGTACGATTATTGGAATTATAGGGAAAAACTGCTAGGGCTGTCACAATTATGAAGGACTGATTTGGAGATTTTATTTTTTTGTGCAATATCTATTAACGATTGATTAGTACTGTTGTACTCATTTAGTGCCTGTTCTATGACTAGCTCATCATATCTTTCATAATTTTTTTCTCGGTTTGGTTTTTATGTTCGCGGTATTATTAGAAGTTAGGAATCTGAAAGAAAATAATCTTCATAAAATAAAATAGATAAACGTAATTTTAAAAATCTCCCGACACATTATTAAATCCTTTCATCCATTACGAAAAAAAAGCTGCGATCGATCTTCAAAACGGCCGATGGTAAAGTATCGAAATCGATTCCGAATGAAAGTGACAACCCTATAGTCCCTTTACTGTCTCTTGACGTACTGCGTCGTCTCTCTTTATTAAATACCTCATCCCAATTTACCCCTCAGTCGTACCTAAGGACCCCCGAGACGTACCGAAAAACCTCATAGTATGTTAAAAAAATATGAGTCTTAATAAAATGTAATTTTATGACTTAAAAAGCCTTTCAATTCTAATTAAATTATGATATCCAGACTCCAGAATAAATAACCTCCTCGCTGATATAGTTGTTTCAATACAAAAATCACAAAAACATAGTTTAAATCGATCGGTAAAATGATGAGCTCCAACGGTAGTTTTAAACAGGCAATTTCAGAATGATGTTTTGACAATTTATTTTTAGTTTCATGTCAAATAAGTGTTGCCGGTTCAACAAATAACTATTCTTCTATACATTTTTCCCATTTTATAGGCTATGGCTAGTAGATTTTCATAGTTATTAATACGAACATTTCAATCCCAATTTTATCCCCATTCACCCCTCGATTCCTATTAACCCCGTTTNACCCCTCAGTCGTACCTAAGGACCCCCGAGACGTACCGAAAAACCTCATAGTATGTTAAAAAAATATGAGTCTTAATAAAATGTAATTTTATGACTTAAAAAGCCTTTCAATTCTAATTAAATTATGATATCCAGACTCCAGAATAAATAACCTCCTCGCTGATATAGTTGTTTCAATACAAAAATCACAAAAACATAGTTTAAATCGATCGGTAAAATGATGAGCTCCAACGGTACTTTCAAACAGGCAATTTCAGAATGATGTTTTGACAATTTATTTTTAGTTTCATGTCAAATAAGTGTTGCCGGTTCAACAAATAACTATTCTTCTATACATTTTTCCCATTTTATAGGCTATGGCTAGTAGATTTTCATAGTTATTAATACGAACATTTCAATCCCAATTTTATCCCCATTCACCCCTCGATTCCTATTAACCCCGTTTGACGGTAACGATCCGCCCTCGCTTCGCTTCAGGAACTGTAATTTATTATTAATTTCTCCACCATTTAATTGATGTTATTATACATATAAACCTTCCTCTTCGATCACTCTATCTATTAAAAAAACCGCATCAAAATCCGTTGCGTATTTTTAAAGATTTAAGCATACATAGGGATATAGTTACAGAGAAAGCAACTTTGTTTTATACTATGTAGTGATAACTATAGATAATTGGTTCATTTAATAATACAAATAATTACAATTCCGATGCAAACTTTTTATTTAAGTAGCTATGTTTATTGAAGTATTTACCAAAATACTACTATATATTGTATTTCTAAGTTTAAACTCCTTTAATACAAAATAGTAAGACGAAACCAAATCTTTGGTTATAATGATAACCAAACAAAAATTATCACAAATTTTATTTAAAAGTAGAAATAGTAAAAATTATTATAGAATACTTATAAATTCAAGTCATACAATTATTAATTGAAACATGTTCACACCGAAATTATCAGTCCATAATAATATTGTACACGCACTGTAATAAGGTAGTAAGTATGCAGTCACTGATAACAACTTTACCAATCAGTTTATTAAATCTAAGCTTTGTTTGGCACAATTTAAATTTACCGCCAAATAACATACGTGAAGGCGATCTCTATCACATAATATGGAATGCGCGGTTTTGGTCGTCAAAATTTTCAAAAGGAATGTACAGGTACTTGGTTAAAATTCCTAATATTGCAAATGGTTGGTTTACATTAACAAAGTGCATTAGTAGAGTACATTGTACACGCAATCGAGTTGCTTTTCTAGTCCAATTTATGAATTTCTAAAACACGATTTTTTTACATATTTACTTTTATATACAATATATTTACATACATTATTTTATTTATTTTATACAAAATATTTTCATATCTCACAAATATTCGTGTTTGACATACAACAATGACTGTACAGAATGACAACAAACTGAATCATTGTTCCTTCGAAGCATTTTGCAGTTTTCATGACCCCTTTATATTCATCGTGTCGACAAAAATACGGTCATGCATCTGGCTATTTGCCACTGCACTCGATTATGGACGTCACTAAATCATAATATTTGATGGAATTATATGATGATGATATCAGGCAATATGGCCCACATAAATGTGCGGTGAGTGCTCTAATGCTAAATATCTTACTAGGACTAAAGCGAGCACAAACTGAAGTAATGTACTTTGAGACAGAGAATATGTTTTACGACTTAAAAGTGCAGCGGTTGTGAACCATCTGTGGGGATTTTACTCCAATGCTTTTTTCCATTCTAGTTCCAGCCAATTGCGGTGACAGTAGAGCGAGCGATGCCTTTTTTGAACTAGATAGATAGATATCTTCTCAGCGCACTAGGTGCTAGATGAATACGAGAACTATTGCTATTACCTTATGCTCACCTTGAGCGTATCTAAGTACCAAATGTTTTTTTACGAGCAACTTCTATGCTGTCAGTCATCAAACAGGCACGCTGGAATGATTTGCAACGAAAATCCGCAATTACATAAATTTTATATATCACACAAGGAAATTTAAAACGATTTGGTTACACTAATAGATAGGTACTTGATGAGTTATAGCAACGTTGCCTTTCCACATGTATACACATGGTACTCGCATAACGCATTTTTATAATGTAAACCAGCCTTTAGGAAGAATCATTTATATTGACTAAACATTATTTAATATAGCGGCGACAAGTCATGNCAATTACATAAATTTTATATATCACACAAGGAAATTTAAAACGATTTGGTTACACTAATAGATAGGTACTTGATGAGTTATAGCAACGTTGCCTTTCCACATGTATACACATGGTACTCGCATAACGCATTTTTATAATGTAAACCAGCCTTTAGGAAGAATCATTTATATTGACTAAACATTATTTAATATAGCGGCGACAAGTCATGTCAAAATTCGACAATTTCTTATTTATTTATAATAATAAAATGATTAATTATAAATGTTGCTTACGTGAGAATTTACTGCGTGCACTGCTCTTGTTTTACCTAACGACTAGTATATTAAATAATTAGCTTACACTATTATTATATACAATGCTTTCTATTAACTATAATATTATGATTGATGATATGAAAATACAGTGAAAATCTTATTATTATTTATTACCTATGTAAATTCTAATACTGAGCCAAAGAGCTCCGGTGAAGATGCCATTTGCGATGGGGTTCTTGCATTTATACAAATGTTAGGTTTCTGATTTCAATGGTATACACCTTTAGTGTAACACTGTTACATATACATAAATTCGAGTTTCCTATGGCGACAGTTAGTTTTTAAACTATGCTCTAAAAGAAATGTGCATTAAAAATAATGAGATTCGTGTTACTAAAAGTGTACTTAATTTCAAATACCACAAATTCATCTCTCACGTGTCTGCTTTTTTGTGTTTTAACACTTAAGAGAACTAATCACTAGTTTAAGATAATAATGGCAGTGGACGGTAAGACCAATATGTTCGAAGATAACTTGTTAAATAAATCAATTCTCATTACGTCAATTCCATATGGTTTTTTATTGTCTCTTTTCGTTGGTTTCTCGTACATCACATAGTTCTATACGTGTATATTTTTCTAGAGAATCTATTCGTAATTTAAATCAGATATTCACTTTCTAGTAAGTAAATGCACTTGACAATTCAGGAATGTGTTAGTTTAGTATCTCTGTACGTTTGATTGTTTTATTTTCTTTCACGATTTTATCACATCGGTCTCAACGATGCTACGGCACAGACCAGATCCACTCGCATTAAAGATTTCACCGCACAGTCGTGTGCGCGCGTGTTTGTGTGCGTGTGCGTGTATGCGTGCGTGCGTGTGTGTTAGTGTGTGTGTGTGTGCGCGCGCGCAAGTGTTTGTGTGTGTGTGTGTGTGTGTGTGTTGTTTGTGTGTGTGTGTGTGTGTGTGTGAGCGCGCGCGCGAGAGTGTGTGTATGTGTATAGCGTGTGTGGAAATTTCCGCCGATCGGATCGAAATGAACACGACGAGCTGCTTTGCGCGCATTGTCATTATACCTACTCGTACATCTTCTTTTAAGGCTTGTATTAAAGAGAGATGGAGAACCTTGCCGAAGAGGCAAAACGAATAAAGCAAATGCAGAAAAACCACGGCGTGGGGTTATATAAACCCTAAATATAAATCGTTATTCTTCATTTAAGCTTTAAAGTTCATGAAATATCCCTGTTACGATTTGTTAGATACTTAATAAGCTTTGATTCGTTTTCCAACAAATTGATATGTCAGGGTCTCCGTAATTGTACGTATCTTTATCGTCGTGAATTAATCAAAAATTAACAAGCCGATACTTTGCCTGTTATATCGTTTTTTGGTAATGAAACTAGTGGTGCGTATGATCGGTGCGAGTGTTTCAAGTTCGCATACAGTCAGTCGTAGTGCGGTCGGTCGGTCGGCCGCAGCAGCCGCAGCAGCAGACGCAGTCAATCGGCCAGCACGCTCTGCGAGATGACCGCCAGCTGCTCCTTGAGGACGCGGAACGACGGCCGCTCCTCCGGCGTGTGGCCCCAGCACGCGCGCATCACCTGCGACGAAGAACCACACTACTCTGAACGACGGGTTAGCTCCTATCGCAACACTCAAATCAGTGATGATGATGAGAATTCATGTTAAAGTGGTAGCAGCTATTCAAGTAAGGCGGAATATTATCTACGCAACGCTTGTGTGTGTGCCTATCTTTATATTTCAATGTATTTTTTTTTTGTTTGTTAATCTTGACTTATAATTGTTTTGACGTAAATCTTGGGAGACTTGTACTATAAATGTATTATTATTATTCTTATTTAGGAGGCATATGTTGCGCCTATTGTACCTGCTGCTTTTTTTTTCGTACCTATGCTGATAGCCTAGAGAAACTATAATATCAGCGTTGCCGGACGAGTAGGTGAGCTCGCAGAGCTCAAACCTGGCGAAGTTGCTAACATCGACCATAGCAAGAGCAATGCTTCGCAGAATCTACCACCGGATCGGAAATGCGACCCCCCACTGAGAAGATCCGGCGAGAAACTCAGTGGGCTGTGTTTGAGGGTTAATTTACTCGTCGAGCCCTTCGTCCCAGGCGACGGATTCTACGAGAACGATGACCGGACGGGTTAGCTCCGAGCCTCCCAAACTATCGCAACACTCAAATCAGTAACTAACTGTACTTGTAACTATAATTGAGACCTTAGAACTTATATCTCAAGGTGGGTGACGCGTTTACGTTGTAGATATCTATCATTGAAAATTTGTGTTGGATTTGGAAAGGGTCCCGATTCCCCCCAATCTACGGTACATATGTAATGAAGCATATTGCCAACATGAACAGATAAGTTACCACCATATTATATCTCTTAACATCTGTAGTCACATAACACAAAGCGGACGACCGTCAGCTCATTGAGAGAACATTTTTTTCAATAATATATCAAAAAACAAACACAAGTGATGCGCGCTACATCACATAGCCAACGAAAACTTGTACCATTTATAATTATAAAATTTTTAAGTGGATTTTATGAAGCTTTGTTATATTATTGTTTGATTATCGATCCGAAAATAGACTCACATTGTATATTTCGTTGATGCAACCTTTAGGTTTTTCTAGCACTTGTCCCCGTTGTACTTTATCCACGACCTCCGAGTTAGTGAGTCGACCGTAAGGTACCTTTCCGCACGTGAACACCTCCCACATCAGCACTCCTGTAATTAATATAAATCAAAGAGTTAGATCCTATCAAACTATAATACAAATTATCGTTTAACTATTAAGTGCACAAGTACTACTGTATGCTATGTTAGACATAAATATACAATTAAACAACAGCTTCCATAAGGTTTAATCTATTTGATAACTAATTAACCTTTTAAGGGACGGAATTTTAGGCAGTAAAGACCAATGTAGATTTTTTTATTGATCCAATATATTTTTTATAAAAATGTAACAACAATTTGTAAACACCAAAAACAAGAATAGTAATTAGCAACTAGCAGAAGCATCTACTTTGGCTTATTCTTAATTATGTCAAATTATGTACATTCATTATCATAAAATTTCACGGTAGGTATGTAAAACTAGCTATTACTTTCGGCTTCGCTGGCGTGGTCATGGACAAGTGTCAATGTAGTTTCCCGTGGGAACGAGATGTTTTTTCGGGATAAAAGGTAAGCTACCTTTTATGTTACCCTCCTGACCTAATAATACTATCACTTTAAAAATCATATCAATCCGTTGCTTTGTTTAGACGTGACAGAAGGACAAATAAATAAATACACTTTCACATTTAGAATATTAAAAATTTAAATTATAATATGAATAAGTAAGTATGGATTGTTTATACTTCTTAAGATTAAATCTATACCTATATTCAAAAATTAGTTGCTGTTCGTTAGTCTCGTTAAAACTCGAGAACGGCTGGACCGATTTGCCTAATTTTGGTCTTGAATTATTTGTAGAAGTCCAGAGAAGGTTTAAAAGGTAGATAAATATGAAAATGCTCGGAATTAAATAAGAATAACAATTTTGTTTTTCCTTTGATTTGTACCCCCAACGTCGGACAAATTCCTTTTGTTTGTTTTAAGTTTATTTTATACAAAAGTTTAGGTCTTTTATTTATCGATTGAAGCACTACGAAGTCTGCCGGTTCAGCTAATTACTCATAAAAATTACTTACATCAAGATTGTATCTTTCACACCTGATAGATTTTTCAGTGCCATTTGTGATTTATTAAGAACACAAAATAAATAAATGTACACACCAAAAGCCCAAACGTCGGATTTCGATGAGAACCTGGTGAAGTTGAGCACTTCGGGCGGCGCCCACTTTATTGGGAACTTGGTGCCTCCGGAGCTCGTGTACTGGTCGTCCAGAACGTACCGCGCTAGACCGAAATCGGCTACCTATAATATTGAATAAATATCTGTAATTACTTTGCATTTCGTTTCATACACAGTATAATCTATATCTATACTAATATATAAATCTACAGTGGTTTTTACGGATGTTTCATTATAACTACTGAAACATGCATCCAATTGACTAGAAACTTGGTATCCATGTAGAAAATACATAATAATATACTTAATGGATAGGCTAATATTTATATGAGTGTCGGACTCCCTTCACCAGTTGCGGGGGCGTTAATGATGAGAATCTTTGTGGGGGTGAGAAATATTAATGTTAATTTTAAATGCCCAGCGAAGCGGACGGGTACAGCTAGTAAAATTATAAAAACTCTTGGTCGTTTAATCTTCAATGAGCTCCACAATTAGCAAACAAATTAGGTAATAATATTCAGTAAGAAAACCAACGTTTATGATTTTATTAAAATCAGAATAGTCAATTTTAAATATAACATGTGCGTTTGATTCAAAGTATTTAATAAATTGAATTGAATTGAATTGAATATTTCATTTTGAATACGAAACGCTGCTCGGTTGCTCTATGTGCTGACGTAAGAATTTGCCGTTGTACTACAAAATTCAGACTAAGAATTCAGTCTTAAGGTGGGTAGTATAATATTAATGTCTATAGGCTCCGGTTACCACTTAACCACCAGGTTGTCCATCTGTGAGCTTGTCCACTCATCTAACCAATAAAACAATATATATTTGTGTTTTAACTATTAAATGCATACATAGACTTCATAATCTCGCACGAGTGAAATCCAAAGTAGACGTTCCCATCACAATAAGGTTTTTATCTAAGTACACTAAGTAAAATATTTAAATTAATATTACCTTCACAACGTTCTCATCGCCTACCAAACAATTTCTCGCAGCCAGATCTCGGTGAATGTAGTTATGCCTTTCTAGGTACGCCATCCCTCTGCAAACCTAAACATTCAAAACAAAATGAAAAGTTTCGTTAAAATACAAATTCTTCTCGTTAAAGTTTATTTGAATTACTATTACTACTGTACTATATTATAATGTAAACATAATATGCAAATGCAACTAAATACAATAATTGCACTCTGACGAACCATACACATCAAGGTGGCAATAAATTAGAAATTAGTGATAGAGTTTGTAAACAAATATTTCGGAGATTAAAAAATTAAAAGTTTCATTACTAGAAATAATTGCCTATGAGTTGGTGACTTAGGACTTATCACGTGACGTTCAAACGAACAGACAACAAAACAGTCATATAAAAATAAAAAACAAATCAATTTATGGTAAATTTTGACAATGTTTACATTTGGGTCACTACAATATACCGACAATGTTATTATCTATATATTAATACGTGAAGCAAAAACGTTGTACCCATTTTTATGAAAATTGCGCGGACGAGGGAGTATGAAATTTCCCACACTTATAGAGAATATAGAGAAGAAGTGCAGAATCCTACTTTTTTTTTAAATTATACACTCTACCATGATTAAAAATACATTAAATAAATAAAGAGAATATTACACACACTACCATGTATTTGACACCCACACATATACTCTTTGTTTATTGTCAAATTTTTGTTATTGCTTAAAGTCTGTAGTCAATTGAGAATAGGTTAATATTGTTTATCTTTAATATTACTTGTATTTGTCTATAGTGTAGTCTTGGCGAAATCTGTGACTATAGAAATATAATAGTCTTTGACAACAGAACCATAATAATGTTCAAACTTATAATTTCAATTAAATTCGAATTTCGACTACTGCAGGACCACTATAGTAGAATTATTTTGTCCGTGCAGTTTGGGTCATAAAACATAGCCCGGCTAGGGAGGTGAGGATATTGCGCGGGCGAAACGCCATTATCGATAAAAACAAATGAGTCATCGAATGCAGGTACACGGCGGCGGGGTGGTATACGAAGGGTGGTGAGACATTGTTATGTTATGAGTCATTTGTACTTACCTGCAAATTATAGTATATTATGTCGAAGAGAAATGTGTTTTTATGCATTCGTTCTCTGAATTTCTTTAGTGACACAATGGCTACTCCTTTGTTTTGTATCAAAACGGCAGAATTTATTCAAAATAGTATTTGCACGTGCTGTTATCAACAATGTGTTAAAATTATTCACTGAAATGAAAATAGATCCCGAAAAGCTACAAAGTGTTAATTTCTGCCGTTCTCGTTAACTTGCTGCGGCGATATGTGATGTAAGTGTTCGATTAGTGATTTTTACTTTCATTTTTATCACTAACCCACAAAATGACAAAACTACACTATCGATAACGCTGGTCGAAAACAATAATGCGCATCACTATGCCCGTCCATAAGGCCCGTGAGTGGAAGAGAGAGCGAAATATTTGCTGCACCCGCTCAGATTTTTTATGACCCAAACTGCACGGACAAAATAATTCTACTATAGTTATAATTACCTATTTTTTGTAATAATTTATGAATCGCGTACCTGTATGCACATGTCGAGGAGGACGGCGTGGCCGAGCTGGTCGGGCGACGTGCGGCGCAGGTAGTTGAACAGCGAGCCGTGGCGCATGAACTCCGTCACGATGTAGATGGGCCGGTGCTTGGAGCACACGCCGTACAGCTGCACCAGGTTCTGGTGCTGAAGTTTACTGAAATTTCATTACGCTTCATTAGGGCCTGTCCGCACAGCGATATTTCACCGCGAGCTTTTTATACTCGCGTATTAAATACGCACTGCGAATAAAATTTCGTATTATTTTTGTCAGTTTAATCCAGTTCTCGGTTGGGATGCACGTGTAAAAATGGACAAACGAATTAAAATTTTAATTTATCGAATACTAAGGCGGCGTTACAGACGTATCAAAAGATGTCATGAACATTGGATTCACTCATTTACGGCATTGAGACCAATGAAACTGAGCGAAACACGCGAATTTTATGGCGCAGTGCGAACACAGCCATACTTTACTTTACTGGTGGTAGGACCTCTTGTGAGTCCGCACGGGTAGGTACCACCACACCGCCTATTTCTGCCGTGAAGCAGTAATGCGTTTCGGCTTGAAGGGTGGGGTAGCCGTTGTAATTATATTTGAGACCTTAGAGCTTATATTTCAAGGTGGGTGGCGCATTTACTTTGTAGATGTCTATGGGCTCCAGTAACCACTTAACACCAGGTGGGCTGTAAGCTCGTCACCCACCTAAGCAATAAAAAAAAAACGTACTTTAAACGGTACAAAATATTCGCGCGGAAACAAATCGCATGGCTTCGCGTTCAATTTGCATCAAATCACAGATTTTTTTTCCTGCACGATTTTTTATCGCGGCTACTCCTATAGGATTAAACTTGTTACAGAATGCAGAACCGAACGGCGATCGAGTAACGTCGTGACGTAGTGACGGACGGATACATTCGATTTATGAAATCTACATATTGACTGCGAGAATAGTGATGTAGTTCTTTATTTAAATTAATTGTATTGTGTGCTCTAGTAACCGCTTAATCAGAAGGATCGTAACTTATTTGCAAAATTGCATCGGTGAACCAAAGTAGAAAACCTAAAAATCCATCATTTATTTGAATTCGTAAAAATTGTAGTTTATACTTGACCGCAGTTAATGCAGATTCTGATTAAATCGACGATATTTTATATGCACTAGCATCTAAAATCATACGGTCAGGAATACACGACGGTCTCAGCTGGTACAGTTGAGGTGAAACCAACTCATCGTAAAATTTCAAGAATTGGAATCTCAGGTCACGTCAATAGTAGTTGGGTGGAGCTCGACAGTTGATACGTCAGACATGAACATGGACAACACAAGGATGACATGTGAGATTAGCGACCCGCCCTCGCTTCGCATCGGAAACATTAAATTTTATTATTGATAGCTGTGTCCCGCGTTGTTACCCGCAGTTATTGTCGTACCGTAGGTGACGCCGCGGGGCGAAGCACGTCTAAAAAAGTAGCCCCTAAGTTACTCCTTATATCATCAGCTACCTATCAGTGAAAGTCTTGTCAGAATCGGTCCAGCCGTTCCAGAGATTAGCCGGAACAAACAGACAGACAGACAAAAAATGTAAAAAATGTTATTTTGGTATTCTACCGTATATATATCGACGCTTGAAAAGCAAACGTGACTAAGCGACAATGCGTGAACTTTACAGTAGACTAATTTAAAGTTGAAATACCTGAAAAAAAAAACTATTTTAACGAATCTATATGTAGGATTGAAATGATTTTAATAGACCTAGAAATATATTTGTTTTGCGCATCGAATATGGTTATTGCCTTCATTTATGTATAAAGCAGTTATTGTCGCTTAGTCAAGTTTGCCTTTCAAGCGTCGATATTGATATGCATGTAGTAAAAAGCGGTTATTTCAATATTACAAACAGACACTCCAATTTTATTTATATGTATAGATAGTAGTAGACTGACGTCATAACTTTAGCTTCGTCGATGAAGTCGTCCTCGGACATGGTGCCCTCCTTCATCATCTTGACGGCCGTGTCTATTCGACCGCGCCAGACGCCGCGCCGCACCACGCCGAACTGTCCCGCGCCCAGCACCTCCATCAGGACCAGCTCCGACGGATCGATTTCCCACTTGTCTGCAAAATCAAAGTTCAACCTAGATTCGAATTTTCTCATTTAAAAAAAATATAAATGTGATGGAGAATTTTGCTATTACATAATCGCCCCTTTGATTCCTTTTGTTTAACGTTTAACGCTTCACCTACGCAACGGAGTTTTGCGCAGTAGGTAAGTGTGTGATGTTTGGCAATATGTTATCGACCAATCACTACATAGTATAAAACAAAGTTGCTTTCTCTGTCCCTATATCCCTATGTATGCTTAAATCTTTAAAACTACGCAACGGATTTTGATGCGGTTTTTTTTTAATAGATAGAGTGATTGAAGAGGAAGGTTTATATGTATAATAACATCCATTAAATAGTGGAGAAAGCAATAATAAATTACAGTTTCCGTAGCGAAGCGAGGAAGGGTCGCTAGTAGCCAATATACCCCAGTACTATATATGTTAGTGAATGCCGCCATTTGCTTTGGTAGTATGTCAAGTTCGTCTGCCCACACACAGCAATAAAATAAATAAAAAATATTTTTTACAGACATTCATGACTTCCAGTCGGCGAGGTTAATCGACATACGCCTAATTTAAACAAAGACCTATTATTCATTGCATTGAAGGGCCATAATTCAGTTTCTTCTAGAATTGAATAGAAGGCAGGAGAAGCCCGATTTAAATTTAGAATGTTCGTTGCACTAACCGTGCGAGAGTCCGGCGGTGGGAGGCGCGGGGCGGTCGCAGGGCGTCGCCTTTAGACGAGAGCACAGGCCGCCGCTGTTGTGCTTGTGATAGTTGATCAGCTCCGGTATACTCGCGCAGCAATGCTTGTCCGACAAATAAAACTCGCCGCGACTGTTCTGTTTTATGTGATAGTGCTTCGTCTGTTGATGATTCCTGGAAAATGTCGAATATTACGCATAAATTACATACAATAATGTGTGTAGGTCAAATGATAATTGAGGACATTAGTGGATGAAGGGGATATGATACAATATGCTAATTTTGAGAAAAGGGGCAACAAACTTTTGTTACTTGTACTTTTTCTTCGTACATAAGTACGCCTTTAAACCCGGAGTTTTAACGTCTCATATGGCTTATAGGCACATAGCACCTTCATTCAATGTAGAAACTCAAAAATCTTAAAAATGATACTTAAGCCCTACATCCACTCACTTCAATTATAGATCTAGATTAGCAGCATCCCTCTCTTCCCGTGGGTGTTGCAAAATGATCTAAGGGTTACATGAATACCGAACGATGCTCAGCAGAGCCTTCTGAATATTAATACCAGCGTATAGATTGGTAATCGACAACTAGGATTTACTGGTGATAGGGCACTGAAAGCCTGCAAGGGTAGGAACTATCACACGTGATTAATCTGCCGCGACGCAGTCACGTGCACTCCGATTTCAAGCACCTTCGTGTGACAATACATTTGAAACTTCCATCTCGTGTCTAGACGGTATTCGCGTTATATCTCGCATAGCTCATCCAATCACTTTTTTATTTATTTAACCAAATAATACTCTATTGGTGATAAGACCTCTTGTTAGTCCGCACGGTTAGGTACCACCACCCTGTCTATTTCTGGCGTGAGGCATCAATGCATTTCGGTTTCAATGGTAGGGCAGTCGTTGTAACTATACTGAGACCTTAAAACTCGTATCTCAAGGTGGGTGGCGGCATTTACGTTTTAGATGCCTATGGGCTCCGGTAACCACATAACACCAGGTGCGCGGTGAGATCGTCCACTCACCTATACAATAAAAAAACCACTAATCTCATTATTCTTGGAATAATAAAATTATAATTCAATTTTATTTATTAATTACGTAAATTTTATTAAACGTAGGCCGTTTAAGAAAACGCTTTTGCCTAAATTCTATTCCTGACGATCCGGAATTACCGGCACTTACTCAAATTGATATTTAACAGCCAACTCTAATAATAATAGATCATCAGATGCTTACACTTTAGTATACAATGACAACGTATACATTCCCTTCGTTGACGAGTTCCGTACGACGAAGCACCCCTCCTTATCTTCACGTTTGAGCAAAGATTCCGCTCTTTGGCGGGACATTTCGCCCACAAACCATCTGTGTATATAAAGATTGTTTGAATTCGCGTTTTTTCTTCCTACCTATGCTGATAGCCTTGAAAAGCTATTTCAGCTTCTCCTTGACCAGTTGGTTGAGCTCNTATACATTCCCTTCGTTGACGAGTTCCGTACGACGAAGCACCCCTCCTTATCTTCACGTTTGAGCAAAGATTCCGCTCTTTGGCGGGACATTTCGCCCACAAACCATCTGTGTATATAAAGATTGTTTGAATTCGCGTTTTTTCTTCCTACCTATGCTGATAGCCTTGAAAAGCTATTTCAGCTTCTCCTTGACCAGTTCGTTGAGCTCACGGGGCTCAAATCAGAGTGTTGCTAACACTGGCCCTACCACGGGATGGGAAAAGCGACCCATTGAGAAGATCCGGCGAGAAACTCTGTGGGCTGTGTCTATGGGTTAATTTACTCGTCGAGCTCTTCGTCGCAAGCGATGGATTCGACGAGGACGGCGACCGGAGAATTCGCTAATATTCACACATCATTACAGTAGATATCCATGATCCTTAAGCATACAAAAAAGACTCAACAATAGTATTCAGGCCTCTAGGAGGTTACAAAGAAATAAATAGCGATTTTAGAAAGCATTATATTGTCAGATTGTTATCAAATTCCACGCGCATTCTCGTCTAGTCAGTCGTCACAAACGGCGCTCCGTCGATCACTAAACCGAGATAGGACACGTGTGCACCGTAATACACACTCAAAGCACATTTCTACACGTGCGATGTGCTCACAAGTGCTCATGCAAAACATCTTACAAACAAATATGCCGATTCATATTAACAGTACGTGTGCGACGAAAGCATTAACTTGATATTTTAACTACCCATGACAACAATTTTAAAGAGTGATTCAAAAATGATTTTAATGCAAAGAACATCATCAACAACAGATTATTGAACAAATTGTTAAAAATATAGTTTAATTAACACGTTGACTGCCACATAGATTAAATTAGGTATTATAATATAAATTAGGTGCATTACGCGGCGCACTGAAGTAATTACATATTTTATATCGATTTCTGTTACTAAGCGTCTGGATTGCCTAACTTTGGCTTCTTTTGTTATTAATTGTATACCTAGATAACGTAAAGAAAAACCTTTATTATTTAAAACTCTTTAGTTTTTAAAAAGGATTTTCTTCGTGTCATTCAATGTCATGGAGTGGTCTGTCATTCAGTAAAAAGAAAGCTCAGTTTTGCATAGTTTATTAATACTGTTTAATTTTTATTATTAATTTTAAAAGAGATTAAGGGCTTCAAATGTTATTTTCTTATTATATCAAAGAAAACACAATTAAGTCTTTTATTGTTTATTCATTCTGAAATACTTCATATCATTACCTATATATAAAATATATTTAATATTATTTATATAATATTATTTATAAAAAAGTATTTTAGGTCTTTTAGACATAGATTAAATCTCAGTATCTTCGGATTCGTCTTTCCCAGAGTCTACTAGATATTCCGGCGCCTTAGTTAGAAGTTCGAAGAGAGAAATCGACATAATTACATCAGTGCGCCCCGTAGGGCACCGGTGACCTACATGGCAATCAACGTATTATTTGCATTAAATAAGTATATCCAGAGCTGGTCTGTTCAAAAAAAAATTCTTCCTTCCTTGTCATCCAATATTAATTCCGAACTCGTTGGAAGGAAACAACATAGGCTGAATCTTAAGTATGTAACTAATGTAGTAAATATCACTTTGTTTTGTTTATAAATACATAAATTTAATGTTTCGTTTGTTCGTCATCTCCGTCGCATAGATTATCCTATTGTTATTCGAGAATCAAACAATCAACGGGTAACAACAGAACGTGTTCAGAATAAAGATTAAATATCAACATCTACCTACCTAAAATAATTTCATAAATTATAAAATAAAAAAACTCACTCATATTTCTGCAACCCGATCGTTTCTTTCTCTTTTACGTAATTGCTCGGTATGTAGCCGACAGAACTAAAAAATAATAATTACATAATTACGTTATTAAAAATTCAAAATGATATAAACATCTCCGTTCATTTTATTTTTGCTCTGAAACGATAACGAAATCAGATCAAAGCAGTGGCATACATTTCATTCAAATGTAACTGTCTAAACTTAACATGTCTATATTATAAAATGTTAAACAATATATTATTATGAATTAATAAAATAAATTCCTAAAACAAAACTTCAAAAATGCAAAAATATTTCATAAGTACCAAGATATAAGAAGTAAACAATTTTGAATTCACGTCAAATATGCGAAATACTTTTAAACGATTATAAAATATGAACAAGAAATTGTCATACCCGTTCTCGTCTTTGACTTTCCACCAGTGATCTTGCGAGTCGTCTATGACTTCATATTCGGCTCCCTGTAAAATGCAAACACATTCTAAACATTAATAACACAAAACATTTTTAGGGGATACACGACTTTTGGACGATAATTAATTTAACAAAACTACAGTTCTTTTTCAAAATCTCCTAGAACAAAACTTGTACGTCAAACGAAAGCAAAACTCAGTGTTGAGGAAATTTCGCCTTCATTCGAACTTTTAAATAGTTTAGATAGGTCTAGTTTCGGAGGAATGACAGCTACTATTCAGACACGTGCTTGTGAAGACTTCGCCGCAGAAATGAAGATGACGGTAGCTTTAACCCAATCGGACTCACAGCACTCTATTAACAGTACTAAGAATGGGTTTTATAATGGGATACTAGCTCGGAGAAACAGGCGTCCTTTAAGAATTGGTGGATTCACAAAAAACAGATAGCGGAAGACACTATTTTTGCAAGTTCCATTTGTACTCGGATTATTTTCTTAGGTCCAAGATAAAGTTATTTAATGGGTATCCAAACCAACCAGATACAAAGAGCACAATTAAAGGAAGCACTAAAAAGTCTTATATATCGAGGGGTGAATAGGCAATTTGGCAACATTTTTGCAACTTTACAGCAGCAGCAGAGATTTAAAGTCTAAAATTTGGAAAAAATATTATAACAAAAAAAACTTCTTCAGCTATTTGAGTGGGGTAAACATAATTGAAGTTCAATTAAAAACATCGAATTATTGATGCTAATACCAAATACAACGAACCTTTAATTGCAAAGATAAATGTCACGTATTAAGCGAAATGTCGCTAAAACCAAATTGCATTTCACCCCTCGATATTTGAATTTGTCTCTTTGATTGTGCTCTTCGTATCTGGTTGGTTCGGATACCCACTAAATAGAAAAAGCTAGAAATTGATCTATTTCAAGCTATATATAGGGATTTAATTTTTTTAAATCATTTTAAAAAGGACAAAATCGTTTAATCCCATTTTTTTCCTTTTAATCGTTTTTATTATATTTAGCAGCTACCCAAAAACTTATTTATTTTTTTTTAAATAAAAAAACCAAACAGTTTGTTTTTCCCACTTTTACAAAAAATATATCAATAAGTAACCAAAAGAAAAACGTAACACAAAGTTAATCTAAATCTTGAAGTGTCTGGAATTTATCAAATACTAGTTTATATAAAATACCTTAGTGGCTTTCATCTTTACCTAAAACCTTTAACTTCTAATGAGGTTTTTATAACCAAGATAATAGATAAATTCAGTGAATTTCTCATTTCATTTATGCATGTGCTATCAGTGAAATTGAAAGATTAATTTAAACTTACCTTTTCCAAGGAGAGATCTCCACTTTCGATTGCTTTAAATGGATAGAGTGCGACGACAATTTTTGTTCTAGGTTTCTCCTAAAAAAAAATAAAAAAATGTTTAAAATTTATTTTCTTGTTCATAGGATTTGCTTTTTACGAATATGAGTTTCAAATACTGGATATTATTAATCTAAGAAAATATTTGCACTTTTTTTTTTACTTTGGTAGGACCTATTGTGTGTCCGCGCGAGTAGGTACCACCGCTCTGCCTATTTCTGCCGTGAAGCAGTAATTCGTCTCGGTTTGAAAGGTAGGGCTGCCGTTGTAACTATACTGAGATCTTAGAACTTATATCTCAAGATGGGTGGCGCATTTACGTTGTAGATGTCTATGGGCTCCAGTAACCATTTAACACCAGGTGGGCTGTGAGCTCGTCCACCCACCTAAACAATAAATAAATAAAAGATAATAATAATAGGTGGATGAAATGATTTCACAACAACATATTAGCCGTCAGACAGACTTATTGGCCTCCGCGTGGTGCCGGCTCCGGGACAACCCGAACAGCCTCCTGGCCTCGATAGGAAGTCGCTATTGCTGCCGTATACTGAGGCACTGGAATGAAGTCCTTGTTGGCTCAAGACCAGCCATGGTCAATATAAAATAAATAAAATGAACTGCTTTTTTTAAGAAAGATTTTGTATTACTAACACTTCAAATGGAATTTAATTCTGAAATAAAAATTTATTCATCATATCATGTAAAATCCTCCTGCCTGAGGAAAAGTCATTAAATATAATTGTTTTACAATTACCTTGGGCTTAGCGGATGGAGTGCCTGGTGGTCCTCCTCCTCCCCCGGGCATTGTGACCGCTGCTGTGACAGCTGTACGAACAACTTTATCTTCATTATTAGATTAGAACTTTGCTGATACACATAACAACAAATCATAAAAGTAATAAGGATATATGTATTTTTAATTTTTTTTATTGCTTAGATCGTTCGACGTGCTTATGGCCCACCTGACGTTAAGTTTTTTTTTCCTACCTAAGCTGATCGCCTTGAGAGGCTATATCAGCGTCGCCTTAACTAGTAGGTGAGCTCACGGGGCTCAAACCTGATGACGTTGCTAACGCGAATCCTAGCAAGAGCCGTGCTTCGCAGAACCTACCACCGGATCGGAAACGCGACCCACTGAGAAGATCCGGCGAGAAACTCAGTGGGTATGGTGGGTAAATGTATCTGAGGGTTCATTTACTCGTTCAGCCCTTCGTCACAAGCGACGGGTTCGACGTTAAGTGGTTACCGGAGCCCATATACATCTACAACGTAAATGCCGCAACCCAGTTTGAGACATGAGTTCTAAGGTTTCAGTTTTTACAGTACAACGGCTGTCCAGCCCCTCAAGCCGAGACACATTACTACTTAACGTCAGAAATGGGCAGGGTGGTGGTACCTACCCGTACGGACCCATAAGACGTCCTATCACTAGTGTTTGTTTTATTCTCTTAAAGGCGGATGTAGCGACAGTTCATCTGATTGCGGGTGGTTTGGTGGGTGGTGGAATGAGCGACACTCATCAATATGGCGATGGAAAAGTTTGCAAAGTATATTCGTAACGTAATTAGTAGACCAACAATTACATGATGCAATCATGATTAATCGATTGTGTTAATAATTTGTAGGATTGGCGGTTTGATTGTGTACTACACGCTCGCGTATAATTTTAATCCGATAAAGTTGTAACTTAGGCATATATTAGCACTTTGAGACTTTGATTGAGATTTCTGACATAACGTGCCATAAATACATAATAATAAAAACGACTTCACGCAAATTGATGATATTCATTCACAGTGGAAGTGATAATTCTCCACTTCCACATTTTATTTTCTTTCCTACATTTTACATAGTGACAACAACAACCCAAAATTTTAAACGAAGAAACAAGACCCCAAAAAAATTGGCGTCGTTAATTTGATAAGTAGGTAGAAGGTAAACAACTTTTGTCGCATGTGTCGACAGGGCCAATTGAAATTTGTACTCCAAACGAGCACCTCAGTAGGTGTACGTGTTAACAGGTCAAACAACTGCAAAACATCATTATTAGAGCTTATCATTCTAATATGACCTTGTACATCAAATCGAAAATGTTTTTAGTAATAGCAAAAATTTTAGATAACAACATCGAATTAAGGTCGTTTTTTAGTTATTATTATTATTTTCGCCAAAAAACTCAGTACTTTTAATAAGCTACTTAGAAAAATAACAACACTTTTTTTTTAAATAAGAAAATACTATGACTATACCACATTTTATAAATTTAATCGAAACGATCTCTGTAAACAGTTCAATAATGAAATCACTGCATAAAAATCACTTTTGCGGTCATTACACAAACGCATTACATTACACCTGACCAAGACAAGAAAGTGAGTGCAACGACTAGCACGGTGAACGCAACCGGCGGCAGCGAGGCCACTGATAGAGGTCACAGGTATACCNTACTATGACTATACCACATTTTATAAATTTAATCGAAACGATCTCTGTAAACAGTTCAATAATGAAATCACTGCATAAAAATCACTTTTGCGGTCATTACACAAACGCATTACATTACACCTGACCAAGACAAGAAAGTGAGTGCAACGACTAGCACGGTGAACGCAACCGGCGGCAGCGAGGCCACTGATAGAGGTCACAGGTATACCGTACCCTCCAGAGCCGGCAGGAACGAAGATAAAGACAGACATGGTATCTTGGATTTCTTTTTGATGACCACTGGTTCGTCCTCGGATTTGTTCGGCAACATCGGAACAGGACGTTCGCACCGGACGTCACGCGCGACACTCCGGCTGTGACTGTCTACAATGTCGAAGTACCGATACAACCGATGGTAAACCGTTATGCATACTTGTGTCGATTTACCGGAAAAAATCTTCATAAGACATCAATAACGAACCTTCTTATTGATTTCTTAAATCCGGTATTCTTCAATTTCTTGTTTTTTTTTTACCAGCTAGCCTTACTTTAAGTATGTCTCATTTTTATTGCAAATCAAATAAAATATGCAGATGTCATTAATATCTACTAGAAGTAGCATGTATATTTCACAGTTTTATTAATCAAAGTTTTGCGGTTCTATAAATGTTTAGAGAAATTTATATACATACATATATATTATATTATTATATACATATAATTTGTTTAGGGGAGTGTATGTACGCGCATAAGTTCAGAATGCCGGCAACAAACTGGATATAATTTTTTTGTTGTGATCGTAAGGAGAAAGTTTAATGAAAAAAAAAAGAAAATTGCAGAAATTAAGAAGATAAGAAATATTAAGAAAACTTAATCACCATATTAAATTTTCTAACGTAACGTTTTAGCAATTGACATAAAATTTTCTCAGCTTTAGTATTGTATAAAATAAAATCCAATAAAATCAATAATAAATTTTACTCTCCTAGTAGGGTCGCTAGTAATAAATAAAATTAGCTCCATCAATAAAACTTTTAAGTAACTATGAATAAGGCTTTATAGTTGTTGAGACGAGGAGCGAGGGCTTCAAAGATGGTCGCGGCCTACATTCACCATTCGATGCGCGGGCGCATATTTTAGGTCTCCCTTTCACTTGTCGGCAAACCCGAAGGTAAGAAGGTGACAAAAACAAAGGCACGTCATCAACAGCAAACGATTGACTTCTAGTGGAGATTATACAATTCTCCAAACAGAAGCCTTGTGATGGCATCTAATAAAGTTATCTGAATGGTGATGCTTTGTTGTTAAGACCTTTTAATTAGCGTATTATAACAATTTTGTGTATTTAATTAATTGTTGGACAACAAAGTAACAAACTAAGTTTTTTAATGTTCTAAGTTCTAAGTTCAGAGAAGTTGTTACTTTACTTATTATGTCATAAACTAATTTATAGAATATGTATACAGTAAATTGTACAAAGCTAGAGAGTATCTCTTTGTCCATGGAATAAATTGTATGCGATAGTGTTCTTAAAGGCCAGGGGCATTGAAATTTGTACTTTTGCAAAAACTTTAAAATGATTTTATTGGTGTGGTCGTAATTGAACTCACAAATCGATCCATTTCATTTATAATTCTATAGATAAAAGAACTACGAACGCAAAAACCTTGTAATTTTTCTTTTTCCTACCTAATTATCAGTAGCCTCGAGGGGCTATTCTCGTTTCGCCGGACTGGTAGGCGAGTTACGGGGCTCAGCCTAAGAAAATTTGCTAACATCTGCCCAAGCAAGAGCATAATTCTCTGAATCCCACACCACACCGGAATCGCGACTCGCTAAGAAGATCCGAAGAGAAACTCAGTGAGAACCATAATAATATTATGTGCTATTTGAAATATTTTGCAAGTTTCACAAGTTGAAATAAGACCCAAAAATCATAGTATTTTCTTTGAATACATTAATTTTAGTAATTAAAATACAAGTAGGACTTACTTACTTCAACGTTATGATACAGGGTCGACTATGGCAATTATGTTTATATTATTATGTTACGAAGTTTCGTTAACTGCTTAACTCCTGACAGACCTTAGTTCATCTGTCTTACTCAAGCAATAAATAAAAAATGCACATAATATATCAAAATATTGTATCGAACGAACAGGTACGCCCAAGCTTTGACCACAACACTATAATAACACAGCAAAAAATCCTGTCAGTTGAAACCAGGTCTGGCTTTTTGTTATCAGATATGAATCATAGGGCGGAACCGGGAACATACCTTAGGACCGTATTTACATTTCTCGGTTCGTTGAGAAAGGAATTTCATTGAATGAGAATAAATAACGGAATAATATACAAAAGTTTTATTTATTTCAATCGCATATAATGTAAAAGGTCCTATGAGAAATTAGTAGTTGTTACATTTTTGTTTTTGTACAATTAAAAAATCGCAATATGTACAGTGTAATTTTTCATTTATTCTAAATAGAAACTTAACTCAATAGAAGAGTCAAAATTATATTGGTATAAAGGCGGACTTAACTTAATCTATAACTTCCGAGCAAATCACAAGAAGTGTGACCAAGATATTTAAAATAGAGAGTGAGATTTAATCGAACTACCAGATTATTTCAACAACACGTTTAGAGGATAAAGCTTCTTGGCGAATGCGACTTTTTATAAAAAGAATACACGCATGATTTAACGTTATTAAACTTCACATTTTGGATGTACCCTTATATTTTTTAAATTGTCAATTAATAAACCAATCTAAATAAATAGACATCTGGAATTCGTGAGAACTTACAGGATAACCTTGTACGTTCGTAAAACATCATTTACATGAAGATTTGATGCGGAACGAACTACGACCGTAAACGTTCACGAGAACCATTTTTGAAAACTAACGACTAGGTACGCCACACCTTTGCTTAATGTAATCGAGTCTTCCGGGTAACGTACTTTTAAAAATCGAATCATGTATTATCGATGTAAATGTAAGAGATATTAATTTAATTAAAATCGATGGTTATTAGCTGTTATAATTATAAAAGTTCATTATGTTAACCGAAAGCATTTTTTTTACAAGAAAGGAATGTAATTCTGCAAATAAATCTTTAAAAATAATGTCCTAATACCAATTCATCGTTGTCAACCCAATATCGGCTACATGCAAGAACAATTTTTTGATAAGTTTTTTTTTTTGGTCCTAAAAGTATGTCGCGACTTCCGGAATGTTCCCTACATTGCAGATATTGGTTGGCAACGACGAATTGCTCTGTTTAAAAGCAATTTTTATTACTCACGTGTAACGTTCTCGGAGAGTTTGTCGCTTTCTTCCTGTATTAAATCTAGTTCGGGCTCTGGTAACGGCCAAACGGCGGTTAGGGCGCACCCCGGTGCAGAGCGACGTTCGGCGTCACAGCACGGCCACCTCCGAGCAGACCTCACGGCCGGGTGATATTGACTCCGACGAGAATTACATACACAAACTATATAAAATTAATTTTTTGATTTAAATTTGTTTATTAGTTATTGTTATTTTTTTATTAATTTATCGACGATTAATCTTTGCAAACTCGACTGACTCTGACCGTTAAGGACAGTGGTATAATGGGTGCAACTATTACTTAATATTAGCAGGAACTATAAATTTTATATAAATGTTCCTTATACTGTAGGTAAGGTGTATTATATGCGTTTCTGCAACGAAGCAATCGTATAGCTTGAAGAGTGAAGAGCCTTTTTACAATTGAGACTTCAAACAAATGTCTCAAAGTGTGTGTAACTACTTAATACGAGGATTTTTTATTCCTACTCACAAGTAGGAATAAAGAATGCAATGCAATTAAAAATATAACCCACGCCCCCTTTTGGAAATTTTATTATTCCGGGAATGTAATTAGAGATTTTAATGATTCGTCATTTGAATTCAATTTACTAAGGCTGCTACTACGAAAATAAGGCAATTGATAAACATAATGATCAAAACACATAACGATAGGGGGACACTTATAGATCACTTCAAAATCAACTTGGTCAACTTGAAATGGACTGCCAAATTTGTCACATATGTCCTTTCAAATTAAAAAGTAAGTTTCAAGTTAATAAAAACTAAATTCTGAGCCATTTAAATACTAATATTTTTCTTTAACGACTTTGAAATATGAACAGCCTGTATTTTAATGTATTTTTGTACCTGATCTAAGGGTGTGAATCCAACGTAAGCGCTCAGTGTGGTCGCCAGCTATTAGATATAGCGTATAGTCTGAATTCTGTTCTGAGTACCCCACCTGAATACAAGATCGATAATTATTGATATGAAACAACATATATTTTTATAAAATAACATTCAAATATAGATAATTGTTATATTTTCAATTTTCTTACCTGAAATGGATACCTGTACGTGGGTCGTTTTTCTCCGTCGCTGTCAGGTATTTGCTTACTTAGTTCTCCCAACTGTGCAGTTTCGACAGTATGTATAGTCTCTGTTGCTATGCGGCCCCTTTCTTTACGCTTCTGTGACACACAAAAATCGACGTAGTTTCAAACTTTGCACGCATCTAATTTATGTAATAGAAATTTTAACGTTATTAAGTACTTTCAAGAACAACTTCCAATTGTCTTTCACAATCACACAATCTTACTGTTTCTGTTTCACATTAGTACTACTACTAAACTACAATTTGCTATTCGAATCAAAGATACGTTTATTACAGATGCAGACTGAATGCTCAAATGTTCCAATATTTTGCTATTTTGACAAGTCTAGAATATTCAAGCTTCAAGCATAATAAAAACCGTTAAATTATTCATCACCTACATTGTTTACTAACTATCTATGCCAATAATTTAAAAATTCTCTCGCAAAAAGCCACGAGTTGTTTAACAAATTCTAATAAATGTTTAGTCCAAAAGTACGGCATTTCTTGTTTTTTCGAGGTCTAACGGAAATGTCACTAGCACTGGCACTTTAATTAGTCACACGACAAAATAACCAAAACCGAACAGATCCGAATTATACAATAGGTAATATTATATTTTTATTTTATTTTAGCTTACTCAATAATTTATTTGTGATTTTTATTAATAAATAAATAAAAGTACACAGTTACGACTATGAAACCGCGCTTATGTATGTACATATTATAATATTGCTTTTGATTCGAATTCGACCGCGAGAAAATTTCACTCATTCTGTAGATACGTTTTTATTACTGTTCGACATTATTTGGAAACGTTATAGAGGAAAAGAGAAATTATTTGCTGATTTACAATTCATAATAGTTGAGCTCGGGTAGCAGCTCCCTTTCTGAATTCATCGAAACTTCCTTTCGAAACGAGGCTTTCCGGCTACCGATGCTCTTGCATCAATCAAATCATTTCCTTCAATTTCCTGTTGTTAAGAGACGTGAACTGTTTCTAAGCATCATCGCGAAATAGCGTCATCATAAAAATAACGATAAAGAGTAATTACTTTAAGAAATATATTTTAATTGTAGCCTTTTATTATACTGCGATAAGTGACTACTATATTTTGACTATTTAAACAGACAGTGTTCTCAGTTATACCTAAAACTTTCTCATCAAGTGTTAATTAGTTTTTAATTGTAGGTTTATCCTAACTTAATATTCATTTTAAATAATCAATTAAATTGAATTGAATTTCGTAAGATACTTACGCACCAAATTACATCTTAATAGTATTATTTATTATTACAAAATCAAAGTTTTCTATATTTCGTCTAATTTGTTTTGTGTTAAACAAATTTCTACGTTTTAAGGGTTATGAAAAGAAAATGGAGGCACCGCAGTTTAGAATGACCCTAACATAAATTTTAGGGTTACATAGTCAAACAATTTATTTATACAAGGTCATCTTAAACCCAATATAATTTACCATAAAAGTCACTCATTTTTGGTAAGTTGCATATCTATTTTTAAAACAGAATATAATATGTTTAATAATAAAACATTTAAATTAATAAAAAAATTGAGTTTGTAGCAATTTTAATTTTTCGTGCCTAAAAGTAATAATAATTATATATTTGTATTATGTATCATTAGGGTTCTATGTTCATCACACAATTAAGACCAGAAAATGGCTGAAACGCCGGTCAATAAATGTATGCAGAATATATCTTAAAAGGAGCCGCACTTTTGGAATTGAGATTTTGATATCCTAACTAACGTAAATGACATTTTGTCTAAAAATGTATTTAAAAAAATTCACCATTAATTGTAAGCTTTTAGATTTTACGCATGATATGTTTGAAGCGTTTTGCACTACATCAGAAAACTGAATTGGAAATATTACAGACGTACCTCGTTAAAGTCGGTATTTGTGAAATTCAATTTTATACAAACATATCTGTAGGGTTCAGTGAATAGTTACCAAGAATTGGATTTGAGAACCGGGTGAATTATGCCAGGTGACGTTGCGAAACTGGCGAGCTCGCCACTGAGCATCGCAATGGACGACAGGACACACCCTGCCCGCGCATGCGCCCGCACCCTACCATTCAATATTCACCCTTATCCTGATTAAAACCCAAGTCAATGCAGCAATGGTATAAACCAAAATTGTAACGAAGTGTGTTTTTCTGATATATACCTTTTATTCTTCTCAATAATTCTAATTAATACATGTTACCGTAAAAGTTATGTTAAATATTTTTAGTTAGTATAGAAGTTTTTTTTGTTGTTATAGGAATGCATTTTGAGAGTCCGTACGCGTTTCTAGCAATGTCCTGTTTTTTTGTGCAGCGAAGCAGTCATCGCTTCCGGTTTATAGGAGACAGTTTTTTGCCGAGAATACCTACCATTGAATTTTTGATTCTGTGTCACAAGATCATAGCATTCATGTCACTGGGCATCAGCCAAAATAGGGCTGTGGTAAGAATGGCCACTTACGTCTTACGACCGGCGACGCATGTTTTGTATATAAATAGTTTGTATAATAGAATTTTTTGTCAAAACATATAATCATTATTTGGTATAATTTATCTTTATTCTTGTAACATTCCATTCCCATGACATAATTTAAAAGTAAATATTTATATACTTTTAATACTTACTTTAATAATTACTTAATAAAAGTAAATAGCTGTTACTATTATTGGGGTAATTCCCGAAAACTATTTTATTTTTGAAAATTTTTTTTTTGAGGCCTTTTACCTTTACACCTTTGTAGTTTAAGCCCCCGCAAAGGTATGTAGTTTGGGTAGCCCTGAACTAGAATCACGTTTTAATACCAGGCAGGCCGTGAGTTCCTCTGCTTAAATTCGGTTATAATAAGATGGCTTTGCTATTTTTAGTAAAATTTGAAGTATTTTATTCAGAAAAATATTCAATTTTAGATTTACACAACATTGATTATAATTACTTAATTTATTTTCATTGTTATGGATTTCCTGATATGTTAAAAGCGGTAGAGCGGTATAAGGGGTTAACTCAACTATTACTGTACCTCACTCGATATCAACATTCATGTCTGCAGAACAAAATTTACCTACCGCATGAGATTAGAATTCCAGGTAGAAGTGTAAAAATTCTTAGATTATTAGTAAGCATCATTCTAGTAAACTTACCTTAGATTTGACATCACATCTTGGATTGCAACGGGAAAAAACAAATTCATTACTTTTTATAGAAATAATGATTACATTTTAAAATTAAAAATCTACATCATTAAGATGTGGCGTGATCACGTTTCAGTCAGTCTTCTAACTACCATATACAGGGCCGGATTTAAACTTAATGCCGCTCCTGGGCACCGGAAAAAAGTCCGCCCCAATACTGGAATCTTACTTAAACTTATAGTTTATATATTTTATTTTTCAAAATTAAAAATCTAATTTATTGCGGAAACTTTATCATTCGTCATATATTCCAAAAACATAAATAATTATTTGTTTTTTTTCTAACAATTATAAATTTTGCACTAAGGATGACTCATAATTATATTACTTAAAAAAGAAAAAAAATCGAAATTAATAATTAACTATATTGAACAATCTTGAATCGACTAAAAAAAATTTTTTTACTTTAAAAAATTTGCCGCCCTGGGCACTTGCCCCGACTGCCCCTAGTGTAAATCCACCACTGACCATATAACTACTCCACTAAAATATAACTACAGCAGAAGAAGAAGTGTCTGTAGAGCAAAGATGTTTACAAAAAAAAACGCAAAAATTGTAGGTACCCCAAATCACAGATCCCTACATTTTAGTGCTTGTTTGGTCGGCGAATAACGTCGTGGTAATCCTAGATTTTAAGATAATAATAACGGTTAAGCGTGTTAGGGGTCAACTTCTTTGTTGTATGATTTCTTTTTATTGAAGTAGTATTTTGTTGACGTACATCACTACATAGTATAAAACAAACTCGCTTTCTCTGTCCCTATATGCCTATGTATGCTTGTATGCTTAAATCTTTAAAACTACGCAACGGATTTTGATGCGGTTTTTTTTAATAGATAGAGCAATTGAAGAGGAAGGTTTATATGTATAACAACATCCATTACATAGTGGAGAAATCAATAATAAATTAGTTTCCGAAGCGAAGTGAGGGCGGGTTGCTAGTATTATATAAATTACTCACAATGAAATAGACATAATGTACACTGCGATCAATACGGTAAATTATAGTGTATTCATTGTACACCAACATGTTAATAAAATGAAAACAACTGCATAACATTACACACAACAACTATGAGATGGGCAAAAAACATTCAAGTAAAAATCATAGTGTACATATAAATAAATAAAAACATAATAATATTAAATAAAAAATATTAAATATACATTTACGTTAAAAAAAATTGCTTAGATGGATGGACGAGCTCACGGCCACCTGGTATTATTGTCAGACCCATAGTCAGGTGTCAGGTGATTATCAGACCCATAGACATCAACAACGTAATTGCTGCCACCCACCTTAAGACATGAGTTCTAAGTCTCAATTTTATAGTAAAACGGCTGCCCCAGCCTACAAACCGAAACCCATTACCTACTGCTTAACGGCAAAAATAGGCAGGACGACGATACTTACTCGTGTGCACTGACAAGACACCCTATCACCACACTACTACCACATTTTACTATTAGGTATACATTTTAAATAAATATCATAACACATACAAAAAAGTATTATGATAAGATTAATCATAAAAAGTATATACGTATATATATTAGTATATATTTTGCATATTTAATTATGTTGTTACACAGGTGTAATTACGAAGTATTAATATTATATGTATTTAGGATAAATGTAAGACAGATGTTAGAGTGTTGGCGCTTATAATTTTTCCATCTTTTTTTTTACTGAAGGATTACTGGTGGCCCGATGGCCTTTCCAATTTCACCAGGACAAGTTGGCGAGCACAGGCTCAGCCAGGAGGGAAGGGATTTACTGACGGAGCGCCTCCAGAGACCTTTTTTTTTTTTAACGCTGGGGAATCCATTTACGGATACCCGGTCAAGAGGAGACCTAACAACTCAAGAGTAGCTGCTTCGCGAATGAATTTTGCTATCGGATCGGAATCGCGACCTGCTGAGAAGATCCGGTAAGAAACTCAGCGGGGAATTTTGCATGTACATCTGTCTGTTTAAAGTGTACGAAAAAATTAAGATCTATACATAGTGTAGCGGAAGGATGTAAATAAATATCGTGCACATAGGGCAGGAAGTAGTTTATTTTTTCTTCAACAAAATTTCCAACAGGTTCGTACCACAATCATCCAATTTCTGCCGCGAAGCAGTTAAGCATTCCAATTCAAAAGGGTGACACAGCCGTTATACACTACAACTGAGACCTCAAACACGTTAGAATGGAACTCGCAACCCATCTGGCGTTCAGTGGTTCCCGGAGCCCGTTAAAATCTCAACGTAAATGCCTTCACCCACACTAAGACACGGGGTCGATATGTCAATCGTATTTCATAACTTAATAAATAAATAAATAACGGCTGTCCCACCTATCAAACGCGAATGCAGGACTGTTTCGTAATAAAGTTATAGAATGTTGATGCACCTCATGCATTGATGCAAGCCCATATGTAGAGCTACATATAAAATACTAGCGGCCCGCTCCGGCTCCGCTCGGGTCTTTAACAAAAATTTCAACGATATTTGACTTTATTTTATTTTTTAAAATAAAAGAACGCTACTTGCGGCATAACTTGCTGGTAGGACCTCTTGTGAGTCCGCGCGGGTGGGTACCAGCACCCTGCCTATTTCTGCCGTGAAGCAGTAATGCGTTTCGGTTTGAAGGGTGGGGCAGCCGTTGTAACTAAAACTTGAGACCTTAGAACTTATATTTCAAGGTGGGTGGCGCATTTACGTTGTGGATGTCCATGGGCCCCAGTAACCACTTAACACCAGGTGGGCTTTGAGATCGTCCACCCATGTAAGCAATAAAAAAAAATCTTGTTAGGTAGGTCTGGTGCAAATGCATGCATGCAAATTGCATGTGGTTTTGACTAAGATGTCAGTGTACTCTAAAGTAACTCCTCAAACAATCAGTGCATCTGCCTGTTATTTACTATCTACAATGCTTTGCCCTCCTCCTTTCCATCTCAAAACTGGGAAGAAAAGATTATGACTGAGAAAATATTATATGCCTTAGCCATTTGCAGTAGTCGAGCTAGATCTTATACCTTTAAACGAGCAATTCTTGTATATATATATATATATATAATCTGAACCTCGGAAACGGCTCCAACGATTTTTATAAAAATTAGTATACAGGGGATTTCGGGGGCGATAAATCGATCTAGCTACGAATTAATTTCAGAAAATGTTGTTTAATTCGTGTTTTCAATAATCAACTTTATCGATAATCAACTTTATGACTCTTCCCGACATCTATTGGTGAATAATAATACTATTAAGCTATTTCAGCAGATGGCGTTGTTAAGCCACCCGAAGCCAATGAGTGTTTGGTTTAAGGTTAGACCAAGAAAATGAATTGTTTATATTTTATATTATTTGTCTTTTTCATATAAATTTAAAAAAAATACTGTACAAAGCTCGGTCATCGTCTAATTTTAATATAAATGGTAATAATCCATCAGACTTCCCTCAATCATCTAATAAATTGTCACCATGACTGATGTTACAGTGGATTTCAGAGGTTCTATTCCTGTTCAGAATCAGTATTTTTTGTTAGTACTGTATTTTAGGGAAGACACTTAGATAGCAGAAGGAAAAAAATGTGGTTGGCTATATCTAATCATACCTACTAGATAACTAAGGGAATATTCAGGATAACTAAGCATTTTGAGGTGACCATTTTTTTCTTTATAACAGCTCTCTTCAGGTTGGTAAATGATCTATAATCTCAATCAACTCTCCAAATTTACCTTAACAAATATCCCTAAGTGTAATTGCCCTTTAATGTGCATAAAATGCAATCAGGCCCCCTGATTGTTTATAAGGTAAAGTTAAAAGTAGATGTTATAACAGTAATGTTTAGAAAAGCCTATCTTGCATTTTAACCATAGAAATCATAAAAATAACTATTAAAAGTGACAAAAAAATTGTTATTTTAAAACCATCATTATCATTTTTCCATCACAGATGCACACACAAAAATTCTTCAATGTACAAGACATCATTGTTGTAGATACAGAGCGAGAGAGTACAAAAGTAGTGTTATCAACATAAGAAAATTTTAAATTTATTTAAGTACGAGTATTTGTATCTATAAATATCATGTATGTTACATATACACATATGTTTAAGTAATATCACCTTCACACTACCAAGGTTCATCTCTGCACTCCCCTAAAGTAGGCTGTTAAAAAATGCCTATGGCATTGAGTCCGCCTTTATACTTTCTAGTATATGAAGTTATAAATAAATAAATAAAATTTTAGAAATTAATATTTTGTTAGCATGTCCCACAAACTTGTGGTATATAGTTGGTTTATTTGCAGGGTGTGTATGTAATTTCCTGAAAACCCGTTCTTAAAATATGATCCAACTAAAACAACTTATGCTTAGCTTAGTGACAGAATATAGTTTTCATCATCATTAAGGTTCTTTTTTATAATCTTATTTACTTATAGTTTTCCTAGCTGAGTATTTAAATTGTCATTCAATAACAAAACAATTGAAAGCTAAATTTTTTTCAGGATCATTGAAATGCCATTAATTTACAATAAGAAGAGAAATTTGAAAAAAAAAACCAGTCATTTATAGGTTTTAGAGGATTGGAATAGAAGAAATTGTCATAGGATGTTAATAAGAGAAGACTTATGGGACTTACTTCACTGTCAGAATCATAATAAATTAGAGACCGAGGAGTAAGGACCACCCAGCGCTCCTTGAAATTTACTGGTGTAAATAAATTCTTATTTTGTGACCTCTTCACCATAAATGCCTGCAGCAGAACTTCATTGTCTTTTCCTGCCATTTTTCACTGAAATTTAAGTACGCGAAATTTCACAAATTTGATTTAAATCACTTAATAATTCCTGACATTAGTAGAAAACTTTATAATTTTTGTAGCCTAAACTTCTACTAATTTAAATAAAACTAACCCATTTATTGAATTTTCATTAGTCACCAGGTTCCTAAGCATAGAACAATTAATATATTTGAGTTTTTCTGTCTGCCATGTAGTATTTAAATCCGGAGATTTTTGTTTTGAAATTTTCTGTGTGCATTTGGTAAATTTTGTACTAGTACAAACATGTAACAAATTCACCTAAAACGTAAAACTATGAGCATACATAAATCTCACCAAGAAAAAAACTAAGTTAACATAGATAAAATACTTAATAGTTTTTTTTTAAGGGATTTTATGATCTGGTAACTGAGACCTTTAAGTCATATTTTATTTTAATTTTTAATCTTAATTTTATGAAAAATGATAATATGGAGTGAAATGAAACGAAAAGAACTTGATTAATTTGAGACATTAATCAACTGGGATGAAATTAAATAAAATGAGATGAGATGATACGGGATGAAATATAATCTCAGTAAAATGGTGGTCATATAAATTCTTTCAGTAGACTTTTTGGAGGATCCCGAAAAGTTACGACCAGCGGCTTTGTTTCATTTTCCCACACTTGTGCACCTTCACAGATAAATAAACCACCGTAATTACACATTTAAACCTAAAGAAACACTAAACAGACAAAATAAAAAAAATCACACAACTTCACTCCTCGCGCTCCCGCCAAAAAGTCCATACACTTATGCCGGCCACTGAAATGCGCGCAAATATTCGTACATTGTACGAATGTTTGCGCGCATGTGAAGGGCCGTCAAACATTCATTCGCAAACCTAGATGCTGTGCAAATGGGTTCGCATACTCAATTTGCGAACCCGTTTGCGCTTCCTCCTATACTTGTTTACGAATGTCTCACGAATTTCTCCTCCTTTTTAATTCGTCAATAAAACATTGAAGAGAAAATGAGTTTTGAATTCTTTCCCAGACATCATTAACAGCCATGCTGTTTTTATGGGATTTCTTTTGATGAAGATACGCTACACAGTAGACGTCACGAACTATGAAAATGGCGATACGTCCGTTACCTTCGCAATCGTCGGCGCAACTGGGCAAACGCATGTGTGGGAGACTACGCGATGGTTCGTGGTTCGCGCGCTTTGATGTCTGTTAAAAAACCGACACAGCTTGGAAAACCACGAATGAAGCGAAAACTTTGCATAATCATTCGCAAATGTCGTCCCACACTTGCGGGTTTGCGTATTCGTGCGCATGTGAGTGACCGGTATTAATGTAAGTCATAGATAATATGTCCGCTTAATTAATTTATGTAAGTTATGCAAAGAATTTTAAGACTGCATTACGAAAATGTTGATATTATTTATTACAAAGTGTGTGTTTTATTTTAGTGTATCTATGGCGTAAGTACATATCCTGGATAGGTACATAATTTTAAATATTTACGTTATTAAATTTATGATAATGTATGGTGCCAAACACAATGAACTGTTTTAAATCCTTAGTTTAGGATTCTTTGGGTTTAATTTAAAGTAATAGTGGGTGTTGTTTTGTTTTTCCTAAATTATTTGATTAGGAAATCTGCTTTATTTCATAATTTGATCAATAATTCATTTTTCAAACAACACAGTCTCGGTGTTTGTTACAAATATCTGTTACATTCCCATGGTGCTGTTCAACTTTTGATCAACAATAGTAAGTAGTAAGTAGTAAGTTAATAATGTTGATCGAAGTGTTCAACGATTGAATCAAATGAAAAAGTTATACTGAACAGAGAATGCTTCGGTTTAAATGATCATAACTTTTGGTGTAAAAAGTAATATGGAGTGGAATAGATATGTACCGTATATGTATTACAGACTTAAATAGAAGATACTCTATATAGTATTTAGAAAAATATGTAAAACCAATTAACTTATGTTATAAAATATGTTTTTGATTATTTATAATTGAGTGGACATAAGGAACAAAGCTTATTTAAGTCTTAGGCAGTAGAAGGTCGGTGAAGGAATTACCGTTTCGCCTATCTCTATCACGGAGTAGAAACCTTATTGATCTGAATAGTAATACTTTGCAACTGAGTCTTCAACCCCATGTCTCACGAATTTTAGTATCGTTGTGATGTCGACAAGAACTCAATAATTGAATCTGTTTATTTTATAATTTACCCCTATAAATCTATTGTCTATTAATAATGTATTAATCCAAATTATAAATCTATAGAGTAATTAATATACTAATGAAGATAATTAGCATTTCAAGTAGTTTAACACTGAGCTACTCGATGGATCTTCTCAAAAGTTCGCGGTTCGCTCTACATTGTAGAGTCTACAATCAAGGCAATGCTAGAATAGCCCGTCGAAGCCAACGACTGACAGGTAAAAATAACAGTTAAAACTAAAGACGACTGTTTTAAATTTACGAGTACTTTAGCATATCAAAAAACAATTACATTAATGGAATATGTCGAGAGATAGAAAACCACTCCCACAAATACCAAACTGCAGATCTCTTCAAGAAAATCCGCCAGCTTACAAAGAAGTTTAAGCCTAAGTCCTGGGTGATTGAGAATGATGACGGGCGCCTTTTGAATCGGTTAGACGAAATTTCCGAGAGGTGGCGTTCCTATTGTCAGGATCTATACAAAAACCCATCATCTATTACTTCAAGTATTGTACCCGCCATCGATTGTGTGGATAGAGAGCCGAATATTCTTCGAGCTGAGATTGTGGCTGCTTTGCGCTCGCTGAAAAATGGGAAAGCATCTGGCCCTGACTTGATATCAGCGGAAATTCTGAAGGTGCTGGGTGATAACGGAATTACTGCTCTGCACTCCATCTGCAACAAAGTGTGGGCGGATGGTGTGTGGCCTAGTGATTGGACTAGGTCGATTATTCTTCCCTTGCACAAAAAAGGCTCAACGAAGCAATGTGATAACTACCGCACGCTTGCACTCATCTCCCACGCCAGCAAGATCTTACTTTACATACTGAACAACCGGATTCGTTACTACCTAGACCAACAGATTCCGCAAGAACAAGCCGGTTTTGTGAAGGGAAGAGGCACGCGTGAGCAAATTCTTAACGTGAGGCAGCTAATCGAGAAGGGTCGCGAATACAACGTTCCATTCATCATGTGTTTCATCGACTACAGCAAGGCTTTTGATTGTGTCAACTGGAGTTCCTTGTGGAAGGTATTGAATGTTCTTGGTGTACCCAATCATCTGATAGTGCTGGTACAGAGCCTGTATATCTACAGTCAGGGAGTTGTCAGAATCGATGAAGCTGTGTCCCAACCGTTCTGTTTTGGAAAAGGTGTCCGGCAAGGTTGCATACTGTCACCTATACTTTTTAATGCATATGGAGAGTACATCATGCGGCAGACTTGTGAAGATTGGTCGGGAGGTGTGCGCATTGGTGGAGCTCATATTACAAATCTCCGATATGCCGATGACACGACCCTGCTAGCTGCAGACGAACCTGAAATGTCTCTTTTCTTCAGCAAAATGGAACGTATCAGCAACAGCCTAGGCCTCTCCATAAATAGATCAAAAACGAAATTAATGGTGGTGGATCGTGCAAATGTTCTAAGATTGAATGGGGCGCTTGGATTAGAGGTTGTAGACGAATTCGTGTATCTCGGGTCCTGCATCAGCAACAAAGGCTCATGTGAAACTGACGTGCGCCGACGTATCGGAATGGCTAAAAGTGCGATGTCTCAGCTACAGAAGATCTGGAAGAATAGAGGGATAGGCCTGAAAACTAAAACCAGACTGGTGCGGACTCTTGTTTTCTCTATCTTCTTGTATGGAGCTGAGACATGGACGTTGAAAGCAGCAGACCGAATGCGCATCGATGCTTTCGAAATGTGGTGTTGGAGACGCATGCTAAGAATTCCGTGGACAGCCTTCCGGACTAACGTGTCGATATTGAAGCAACTGGGCATCAAAATCAGACTGTCTACTGTATGTCTGAAGCGGATCCTCGAATATTTTGGTCACATTGCGAGGAAAGACGGCGATAACCTGGAAAAACTTATGATCACAAGGAAAGTTGAAGGCAACAGATCTAGAGGCCGCAGCCATACTCGTTGGTCCGATCAGATCCGCACCGCTTTGGACAGTACAGTGTACAGCGCGCTGCATGACGCCGTGGACAGGGTAAAGTGGAAAAGATCCTAAGATTGAAGCTCATGGGTGATGGTGGTCACGACCCTCAGACATGAGGAACATGACTCGAGGAGGAGGAGCATATCAACATTTATAACACAGTATTTCTCAACAGCTTTACATCCAATAAAATTTTACTCGTTTTGCTTAATAGAAACGATAGGCTAAAAAATAGAGTTACCAATGAACGTAAAAAATATTAAAAAATCAATGAGCTTGGGCTTTCCTTGTAGTCTTGAAAAAATTGTCGTCAGAATTTTACATTAACTTAATTTCAATATTATTGTTAGTAGGACTAATTTTAACAAAAGTCAAAGGGCATAAAAAGATGGCTGGTGATAATATAGAGAAATTATATAAGAATTACGATATTTTAGCTGCCGCGAAAGATGAAATTTCACAGGTAACCTATCTTGATTATTTCAACACGTTCTATTATTCTAATTTATGGTGTAGTTTATATAATATGTGTTCCTTTATTATTGCAATAATTGTTTCTTAAATATTGTATGTGATAAACTTTCTTATTTAATAAAGCACGAGAAAGAGTACTTGGAAATACTCGCAGCCGTAAAGGGATCTGACAAAGAGAAACGTTTGGCATCTCAATTCATTGCGAAGTTTTTTAACAGTTTTCCTACTTTATCCGAACAAGCAATAGAAGCACAATTTGACTTGTGCGAGGATGACGACGTTGCTGTGAGTACTAACTTTTCCTTTAAGTACAACCTAAATTATATATCTAATGTTGTTAAAATACTATGCTGAGCATAGTATGCTCCTAATCATAACCTGTATTGTGACTTCTTTGAAAATATGTATACTTTTTCAATTTTCTACAACTTACAAGTATTAGAACACTAGTGTTTTGTAACATTCAACTAAAGTTGACAGAAAAGCTAGTGGCAGGTACATGTAATGTCCATTTATATAAGATTAGATTCTAATCTAATATTTTATTGAGAAAAAATTTATTACTTATTTGTTATGGATAATTTAAAAAAAACTTAATCAATTCAAAAATTACATAAAGAGAATTGCCTATAAAAGTCATTATTAGGCATGCACTGTTAAAACTGATACATACAACAATGTCGGTACTATGTGTTGAAATGAAATGAAACTTGTTACTACCTTCAAAATTGCTGAAAGGCTATATGTTAATTATTACAGTAAGATAACAATTTATATTTTTTGTTTAAATTTGTAAATCAAAATATTGGTAGAACCAACAGGTTATTATAACATATATATATATAACACTAGTATCATGTATAACAGGTATAACAACACTAGTATCATGATATTAAATTAAAAATTTCATAATCTTGTTAACTATACATGTAAATTGGTCTTTGAATGATTAAAATCAAGATTTAAATAGTCCTTAGCTTAATTTATTAGTAATCTCATTGTCTGTCCGTGTCTGACAGTGTCTTTTTCAAATAAATTTGTGATTTATTCTTAAAACTACCTGTGCAAAACTTGTGTGAATAATGGCTTATCAATAAATAAAAACAGTTTTTTTAACATCCAATACTAAATACAATAAATAAGTATAAAGTATATCTATACAAATGAGAAAAACCGGAGTAAAAGTAATATAAAATAACTTCTTTTTACCCAATCTCAAAATCAGTATTTTGTTCATTTATTTCTCTCAATGCCCTTTTGTCTTTAACTTGCTTTTTCTTTCAGCTTTCACTCTAACAACGATTTCTTATAAAATTCTTTTGCCACTAGATAGATGAACAGTAGAGTAGAATATGAAAAGCAGCTGATCATTTATCTGTTTTAATAAGCTTAAACTGGATGAATTTGGTTCTTCATCAATAATGGCACTTAATGTGACACCCCAGATCACCTTGTCGTCATCTTTGATAACTTAGTGACCTTCCTTCCTTCTTTTGTGCTTTCATCTAAAAGATAAAATAGTCCCAGCTATTAGATAAGCACCTATCATATTCTAGTGTGCCCAAACTTGAAATTAACTTTTAGGTTTTCGTCAGTGCAGATTAGATTAGATTTGATGCAGAAACAGGTAGGCTGGTACCAGTAAAGAAATTGGATAACAAAAAATATGTTTTTGTTATCAGTAATTACTAGTTCATCACCACTACAATCCTCTAATCCAAAAAGTTTTAAATAAAGACAATTGGTTTCATTTCATTTTTGTTGTTTTTTCTGTTCAACAGATTCGTAAACAAGCCATAAAAGATTTGCCAGTTTTATGCAAAGAGCACAAAGAACACACTCAGAGAATTGCTGATATATTAGCCCAGCTATTGCAATCTGAAGATTCTACAGAGATAAATGTAGTAACAAACTCTCTTGTAACAATTTTGAAAAGTGATCCCAAAGGAGCTTTGTCTGGTATCTTCTCACAAATTCATCAGAACACAGATGGTGAACTAGCAAATGAAATTGTTAGAGAAAGATGTATCAAGTTTTTATCTTCTAAAATTCAACAATTAGGAAGAGAAATAATCAACAAAGAAGCTGAGGAACTCATTATCACAGAATGCAAAAAAATTTTAGAGGTTAGAAATATTAAGTTAATAAACTATATATAGTGTTCTAATTGCCAAAAGCTTCAAATTTATGCTCAATTGTAAAAAAAAACATAGTTTTGGTTAATATGAGCATAAAATAAAATCTTAAGAAACTGTTATGAAAATGTGTATTTTACTTTCAGGATGTTGTTGCTGAAGAATTCGAACATATAATGGAACTGCTTACTTGGTCAAGATTAGGTAAAACACCCCTGGGAAAGAAGGAGTTGGTTCAAATTGTTGCAGCTCTAGCTTTTTCTCCTGATGACTGGCATCCAGAGGATCCTGAATATATAGATAGATTGATACAATGTACACAACATGCTGTCCCTTTGTTTTCAGTGAGTATTTGAATGACATACGTCCTAAATTACACTTATTATACTGTGTTAGTTATACTTTAGAAGATCAAAATTAGTGTTATGACCAAATAGCATACTGTCTCAAAACAAAATATCCACAGTCAACCTACACTGTATTAAAAACTACACAGAAATAAGGAAACTATAAGCCTTTTAATATAGCTAGCTGTATAAATCAAATAGAGGTCTGCTATTGTACTTGCATCATGCAAAGTCGACTGGCTTTATTTCATTATATTTTTATATTTTTAATTTTACTTAAATTGCTTTATTTTATGTAATGTATGTTAAATTGTAAAGTTTGTAAACGAATTTACAGTAACTGACTGTAACAGACTACTGAAATGAATATCGACAAAGCCACAGGCACTGTAACTATTCTATGATATAAATTTTCACATGCAGGATAGAGCATACTCGCCAATAACTTTAAACTATAGAATCTCAGAACATTAATAATGTATAAATATTGGTGTATTTTAAATATAATGGTACTTAATTTAATTCTGCTGTGTATTTTAATAAATAGTACATTACCAACTAGGTTTTTTGGTTTCATGGAAACATAACATTAGTCAACTAATTCTAAATATGTTTTATATTAATTTTAGCCCCAAGTGGATTCAACACAGTTTATAAACTTTTTCTGTGACCATGTACTACCCAAATGGAAAGACATTGTTGTGGCTGATGGAGCATCTGATTCGAAACTTGAATTACTAAAAATATTTGCTGAAATAACAGAATACTCTGGAGATTTGGAAAATGCTCAACAAAGAATTGATACAGTTTTTGAAGTACTTATGGTAATTATGTTTTATTGCATATTATTTCAAATATTGCATTGGTAAAGCTTTACAAAATGTAATATCTCAAATTCATCAAATGAATTTTAGGAAACAATGTAGATATGCTGTGATGTTTTTGTTGCAAGAAGTAAAATTTGAACCTTCATATAATTCCGCTACTAAGTTTTTGCTGTTTTTTTTTTAAACAATAAATTAAATTAAATTATAGATTATAGATCGATGTCATAGACATCTACGATGTTACTGGAGTAACCACTGAACACCAGGTGGGCTGTGAGCTCGTCCACCCACCCAAGCAATAAAAATATAAAAATTGCACATTACTAGCCACCATTTTTTCATATTTTTCTGGCAAATTTCGAATATCTTGGCGGTGGAAGCGTTAGTTTTTTGACGATATCCATAAATTAAGCCATTGTTTCATATCTGTATGTGAGTGGAACTGCTAACTTGCCAGACCATGTGCCATCGAATAGAAAACATTATGATGGTACTACTACCCAATATCTGGGGAATATGGCAGGTGGGGTCAGACGTTGCATTTGAGCGCTTTCAAGTACATTTTAGCGGGCTTGGAAACGTGAGGCCGAGCGCTGTCATGCAAGATAATCATCGCTTTATCGTTCCTCTGCTCGTTAAAAACGTAGTACTCCGCTTAATCGTATTAATTAATTACGATACTCTTCTCCAGTGATAATTTAATTCGATGCCAGCAGTTCATAATAAAAACGCCGACCTTACCCCACGAAATACACAGCATAACCTTCGGAGTCTAATTTTAGGCCGAGGCGACGACTTAATGGCATGAGCAGTTCCCAAAAATGTTCTCTTTAGTTTGCTGTATTAAGCTCATTTTTCATCATCCGTCACGATGCGATGAAGAAAACCCTTTTGTACTGCTGGAACAGTATTTCACAAGCTAAAAAACGGCACCATACATTCCTTGGCTTCAATTCATATGAAACTATGAAACTCAGGTTCCAAATAAATCATTCCCATTTCATGAAATTCCTTGGAAATGGCTTGACCAGTAACTCCGAATATAGAAGTAAAATGATCTTGTGTTTGGTACGGTTCCGGATCGAGAAATGCCTCGAATTAAATGTTTTCGAAAAAATTTAGCTTTCCTTTACGCAAACGGTCGTCAATAATGAAATATCCGTCGTTGAAGCTACGGAATCAATGTCCTGACGTTGTTTTGCTCAGAGTAGTATCGCTGTGAACTTTTTGGAGCTCTCGATGCGCTTCGGTCGCCGCACAGTGGGTCGATACTATGATTTGAGTGACTTAGGGACCAACTTTGTTTTTTAACAAATTTTTTTACGTAGATAGATAGAGCTCGTTAATCTCAATAATAATTGTTTTGGGCAAAAATTACAAAAACTTTATAGTTTGGTCAGAAAAATGTGTTTTGTGATTTTTTTGTATGGAGCGGGTCACATTAAATTAAATTCCTGCTAAGTACCGTGAGGTCCCGCTTTGAAACTTTATTTTTCTTACACCTTGTCTAGTCTACTATCATTTGANTTTTTGTAATTTTTGCCCAAAACAATTATTATTGAGATTAACGAGCTCTATCTATCTACGTAAAGAAAAATCTTAAAAAACAAAATTGGTCCCTAAGTCACTAAAATCATAGTATCGACCCACTGTGCGCCGTTTTCTTTAAATGAAATGAGAAAAATAACGCAAATCATGCTTAGTGGTTACAAAATGACTCATTTTCACACAACTAAAAGTAATATCACGCAACAATAAAATGTGCCGATGTGGTTCGTTTATCATATGTCTAAGCTTGTTTACAATGTTTATATCTGTCAAAATCGACCAGAACTTATTGATAAACAGCGAGAACTTTGTTTCGGTAGGCAGCGGCTTGGCTCTGCCCCTGGCATTGCTGAAGTCCATGGGCGACGGTAACCACTCACCATCAGGTGGGCCGTATGCCCGTCTGCCTACAAAGGCAACAAAAAAAAATAAAAAATAAAAAAAATAGTTCGACCACAGAAGCCGGAATTCTAAAGATCTCTCTGTACAAGGGTTTCAATATTATATGGACCTCTCCCTATGCAAGTTTTTATCCAAAACAGAAACAAAATCGTACAATTAACTAGGGGATGAAAAATAATTCAACTGACGTTAATTTAGTGTATCATGAGATAAGTGCAAAAGAGGAAATAATTGTTTCTGCATGAAATTTATTTAAATCAGTATTATTATCTACTATCATATTCTCATTTTTTATTATATTAAATTATTATTTTTATTATTTTATTGAAATATGCATATTGTGTATAATAATGTTGTTTATAAATATGTATGTATAATATGTATATGCTTATAAAATATTACAAGTAAATAACAAATTAGCTAAAAAAATTTTTAGGAAATTTAGTAATTATATGGAATATAAACCATAAATGAATCCACACACACACAATACCTTATGTTCTGTGTAACACACACACAACATAATTTTAACCAGATATCTGAGTTCAACTCATTCATGATATTGTTGAATATTGTTGCCCACTGTTGGGGTCAAAGATTCAATCAGAATAGTTACTTGTTCAAAGTGAATTCCTTCACGTCTGAATCTGCATCACAACATGCCCTTGTTTTATAATATTTATATGTATTTCAAGGATTATTTGCCTGAAGCTCCAGTAGAAGATGAAACTCAGAAGACAGAAGAAGATAAAGTTGAGGAAACTAAAACTGCACCATCACTACAGTTTTCACACGTGGAATGTGCATTGTTTGCATTACATTCACTATGCAGAAAATCACCTAATTCATTAACTAGCGATGCCGCGAAACTTAAGATGCTACGTTTACGTTTACAATATACTGCTCGTCTCACACAAGGCTATATTAAGAAATTAAAGGAAGTGACACAAGTGAGTTCTGAAGGATAAATATTTTCAACATATTAAAACAGCACACTAATACTGATCAATTCTGTCAATAACAATTTGCGGACTATTAAAATTACTTTTGAATTTGTTAATATAGGATTATCTTATATTGAATAATTTGTTTCAGTCTCAAAAAACCGAAGATGAAAATTCCGAAGAAAGTAAATTAAAAGTAGCTGCATTAAAGACTACTTCAAACATTAATACTTTAATTAGAGACATTTTCCGTACCCCACCATCATTTAAAAGCAAAGTTCAGCTTTCATTTAAATCAAAAAAATCTGAGAAAGAGGTAAGAAACTAAACTCTTTTCTAAATCTCAAATTACACAACTCTCTGCCATTAAAAGGTTTACTTAATAACCAACAGTTATAAAATCTTGATTAATGAGATTGGTTAATAACTCATATGTCAACCGTACTTCATAAAAGCGTATTAAAAGGACTGAAAATTGTAAATGTCAATTAATGAATTAAAACAATATAATTTGATTATTAAATAGACAATTTATCATTATTTTTAGGAAAAACAAACAGCCAGCACTAGTGATGCCACCAAAGATTCGCCCCAAAAACGTCATCGCCCTATTACATTTGACAATGGAGCTGAAAAAGAATCTCCAGAAAAACGGTCCCGTAGCAGTGATAGAAACCTTAAAATGTATACACCACCATCAGGGAAATACAGCTCAAGAATAAACAGTAGCCGGTTCTCTGGTTCAAGTGGGAGGGGTAGAGGTTATGGAAGACGGGACTATAGAAATAATGGGGCATCTTTCAGAAATCGAAGCAACTATTAACGAATGAGTGCCTGGATTGATGATGACGATGAATGATTTTTGATTCGATTTTTTATTCTTTGGAAATTTTCAAGTTTGTTGATATTTGCAAGAGAGAAACTCTGTCACTTTGTTTATTCCAGTCCCTACAGTATCACATCAGCATCAGCAGCTAGTTGTATCTTTTAGTTTTGGTCTTTCCATTGAGAATTGCAGGTTCAACGGCTTCAAATCTCGTTGCAGTCCATTACTAGTATTTACAGGAATTAAATTGCTGGTGATTTGTATTTTGTATCTTATAATGGTAAGCNGATATTTGCAAGAGAGAAACTCTGTCACTTTGTTTATTCCAGTCCCTACAGTATCACATCAGCATCAGCAGCTAGTTGTATCTTTTAGTTTTGGTCTTTCCATTGAGAATTGCAGGTTCAACGGCTTCAAATCTCGTTGCAGTCCATTACTAGTATTTACAGGAATTAAATTGCTGGTGATTTGTATTTTGTATCTTATAATGGTAAGTTGTTCTGTTCTTCTACCAATCCAACTACCGTCAAATAAAAACAGGTTTGTAAAATGTTGCTAATTTTCAATTTTATTTCAAATATCATACAGAAACATTTTTGACATAAGATTCATACATATTATATATATTATACTTAAATACATTTTAAACGTTTTAATTATTATCAAATTCAAATGTACTATTACACCATAGTACCTACCAATTACCAGTACTATATTACTAGTACTGTACACACCAACAAATACAAACCAGATTCTCATTGAATCATGTATTTACTTAAATACGTTTGTAATAAACGTAATGGCAGTTTTTAAATCATTTTGCCGGCCGATATCACGCGTCAGCAGAAGAAAGCAGTTTTTGGCGCATCCACGTAAGTATTAAATTGTAGCAGTTTTCTGTTTACTAGGTCTCCGACATTCAGCTTATCCACATGGGAACCCATCGGTAACTATTTTATGTAGTCTGTTACATCAACCAGATTTTCAGGAAATCTGGATTCGGAGTGGTTTTTTACACAGCAATAAAATACCTTTTAGTCAAAAATGGTAGTTTTATTTTTAACAAAAAAAATTTATATGAAAATTGAAAGCTTAAAAAAGGGCCCGGCTTACACATTTTACCTAAATAATAATACAGGTTGCAGACCAAGCGCAAAGCTAAGTTAGTTTAGCTTAGCTCGCATAGCTGACGCAGTTTTCCATACTTGCGTGCAATCGCAAACTGTGAACTAAGCTGCGAGAGCTAAATAAAATATGCGAAGCTAAGTTAAATGTGTAGGCCGATCCCTCTCGCCTTCCCCGCGCGCCTTTCGCACATCCTTCGCCAGTGCTGTCCAGTGTCCTTTGTCGTACGCACGGTCCTTTTCTAGCGAATAGGGAGCAATTTATTGAAATTGTTAATCAATTTTCTGCACTATGGAACTGAACTCTTGTAACACGATAATATAACTGAAAATGTTCGTCATCTAACTCGTAAAATAAACTTTTTTCACGTGAGGGTAGTCTAAGTGTCAATACTAAAAAATTTGCGTTCTAAGATTTATTTTAATTTAAATATAATACAGCTTATATTGTTATGATTTATTGATACCAGGTTGATCACTGACCTCTAATACTCTCATTTCAACAATTATTTCTCCTCTGAACTCACTCAAACTAAAAACTTAATTATCATCACCATGGATATTTACTCCAAACTATTTGCACAACTGGAAGACTTGTCTACAACACTGAATTTAAGAATGGCACAACACGAAGAAGATTTGAAGAATGCAGCTACCACAGATCTCCCACATAAAACCATAGCGAGTTTATCCCGTGAGTTTGCTGAATTTAAATCCTTTGTGTGTAATGCACTAACTGCTTTGAAAACTCAAACCGAGTTGCTTACTTTGGGCTTGGACAGACACGAAATGATGTCTCGTCGAAAAGTACTGTTGCTTCATGGGGTCAACAATAATAAAGACCCTTCAGCTACTGTTTTGGATATTTTAAAAGGTCCCATGAAATTGAGTCATATTATTTCAACTGACATAGTAACTTGTCATCATCTTGGAGCTAATAAAAGCAAGCCTCGTCCAGTTTTAATAAGATTCAAATGCCATAGCCATCGAAGTGAAGTTTGGAAGAATAAGGTGTTGCTGAAGGGTTCTGGTTTGACGTTGTCTGAATTCTTGACGAAGTCCCGCCATGATGCGTTTCTGGGTGCTCGCAAACACTTTGGCCTTAAGCAGTGCTGGACATCAGAAGGCAAGATAGTAATCCAGCTGTCTGATAAAACACGTCGGAAGATAGAGACTGTCGCTGAGCTCCGTCTGTTGATAAATCAGTACCCTGTGGCACCAGCGCCTGGTGATGAGTCTGCTGAAGCCGTGAAAAACACAAAGTTGCAGGTCAAGAATACGTCGGACAAGAGGATCCGTAAACCGCCTAAATAATAATGTTTCACTTTATTTATTTTATGGAAAGTATAGCATAATATTTATTTTTAATTATTTTACTTCGTTAAAACTCTTTGATGTATTCCTTTTGATGTATACTCATTTTTATGTCTATCTTTCTGTTTTACTTGTTTGGCGTTTGTTAATTTTGATATATAAATTAATTTAGTTTGTGTTTGTTGGTTAGACTTAGTTATGTATAATCATGTATTTCAACATACATCGCTAAGACTTTGACAAGTTTGACACAATGACATGTTTTGGTATGCTACCTACCTCCTTTACAATAGAACTTTGGCTCTGTGGCTTTTGGCCATCAATTTTAGTTGTAGGTATACCAAATCACTGATGATTTAAAATAATTGTTTTTAATTTGTTGTTCTCGGAGGTTAGTTTGATAATATTATATTTTGTATTTTTAGAAGTTATTAAGGATTTTAGGTGTAATTTTTATTTTTTTTGTTTTCGTTAGTCTTTGTTTATTATTTTATTGGTATTATTGTTTTTTATTACTTATTTAAAGCATTTCATGTACAGTGACACTGATGATAATTTTTTGTCATGTTCTTCTTCTGTTTCTTCTGATAGAAGCTTTGCTAGTGCGTTTGATAATGATGATTCCACTCATCTACGCGATCAACTTGCTTATTCCCTTTCGTCTTCTTCTAAATGTTTCAACGTCGTTCACATCAATGCTCAAAGTGTTCACGCACATTTTCCTGATCTGTTATCTTCCTTTGACTCAGACCATGTTCACGCTGTGCTTATCTCTGAGACTTTTCTTAAGCCTTCACTCCCATCCTCGCAATATGCACTCCCCGGATACAAACTTTTGCGAAATGACAGGACGGGTCGCGGATGTGGTGGTGTTGCAATCTACCTCCGTGCTGATCTGAAGCATGCAATCATTGATCAGTCACCAAGCGAATATACTCAATCTGCTGAGCACCTCTTTATAGAGGTAGCTATCCAGCACACCAAGATACTTCTTGGTGTTTTTTATAGTCCTTCAAGTCACATTGATTATTTCTCATCTTTTGAAAGTATGTTAGAAAATGTATGTTCTATATATGACCATGTCTTGATCCTTGGAGACTTCAACACTTGCCTGATCAGGGATGACGCACGGTCTCAGCGATTCCTCTCTCTAGTCTCTTCTGTAAACATGCACCCTCTTCCCTTGGGGGCGACTCATCGTGCTCCTCACTCTACTCCTTCTCTTTTGGATCTCATTATTGTCTCTGACCCTTCCAAAGTTTCAACGCATGGACAGTTATCAGCTTCGTTCTCTTATCACGACCTTATTTACCTTTCTTACAAAGTTCGTTGTCCTCGACGCAAATCTAAATTTCTCCTTCTCCGCAGTTTCAAAGATATTGCTCTCGAGCGTTTGAGGATTGATGCTGGTAATCTGGACTGGTCGTCTGTTTACAATTGCAATGACATCGACAGTAAAGTTGCTGCCTTTAACAACCTACTATTAGATCTCTACAACAACCATGCACCTCTCAAGAGAATCAGGGTTAGGCACTTGCCTGCACCATGGCTCTCTGATGAAATTAAGTTGTTTATGAGTAGGCGCAATAAAGCAAAAATGAGGTATAGGAAGAACTCGTCTGAGGAAAACTGGGCAGTCTACAAAAAACTTCGCAACCGTTGCAGTCGCCTGTGTAGGGATGCAAAGAGACGCCACATTCACAATTCCGTAACTAATCTCGATACTACACAAGTATGGCGATTTCTCAAGTCTCTTGGTATCGGTAAGGCTGTTGAGGAGAATACCGTAATGGCGAATATTGACGCACTCAATGCGCATTTTGCCAAGCCTCCAGTCACGCTCGATGCCACCATCAAATCTTCTACTCTTAACCATCTCTCAAATCTTTCTAAGCCATTAAATACTTCTTTTTCCTTTACACCAATTGCTAAGCGGGATATTAAAAAATCCTTTCAATCCATTTCCACCAAGGCAGTAGGATGTGATAATCTGCAGCTTCAAATGTTCACACTTATCATGGAGGAAATTGCTCCTATCCTTTGCCACATAATAAATTTTTCTCTTGAGTCCAGTTCCTTTCCGTCACTTTGGAAAAAGGCTCATGTCCTACCCTTGCCTAAAATTGCAAAACCTGCTTCTTTGTCCCATTACCGTCCCATCTCTATTCTTCCGATCTTTTCCAAAGTCCTCGAGAGCATTGTTCAGAAACAACTGTCTTTTTACCTCTCTTCGAATAACCTACTGAGTCCGTATCAATCTGGATTCCGTCCAGGTCACAGCACTGTCACCGCGTTGGTGAAAATCACCGATGATATTCGCTTGGCCATGGAGCGGAAATCAATTACTATTTTGGTTTTACTGGACTTTAGCAATGCTTTTAATTCAGTTGATTTTGACATTCTTCTCGGTATCCTATCCTCTCTTAATGTCTCGTCTTCGGTAATTCAGTGGTTTAATTCTTACCTCCGTGGACGCTCGCAGTCGGTTCGCTATGAAGAGTCTTTCTCTGAGTGGTGTGACCTCACTGCGGGTGTTCCACAGGGTGGCGTACTTTCTCCTCTCCTCTTCTCTGTGTTTATAAACACAATTTCTCAATCTTTATCTTCACACTTCCATCTCTATGCAGACGACTTGCAGCTATATCGTCATACGAGGGTTGCTGACGTTGGGGCTGCCATTTCGGCAATCAACGTGGATCTCTCTGCGATTTACAACTGGGCCAAGTCCTTTGGTCTTTTGGTGAATCCTTCGAAATCGCAAGCTCTCATTGTTGGTGGTAGGTATATGTGCGGCCTTCTCGATTACAGCTCGTTAGCGCCCATCCTCTACGACAACGTTCCGATAGCGTATTCGAAATGTGTCAAAAATCTAGGTTTATACATCGACAGTCACCTCTCGTGGATTAATCACGTTTCCGAAGTAAGCAGAAAAACAGTTTACTCCTTTCAGTCTCTGAAACGCCTTCAAAAATTCTTGCCTCTTCGCACTAAAATTTATCTTGCCCAAACGCTTTTAATTCCTCTTCTCGATTATGCTGATATCTGTTTTCTAGATGCTTCTGAATTGCTTTTAGATAAACTCGAACGTCTGCAGAATTTGTGCATCCGCTTCATTTTTGGTCTCCGGAAGTATGACCATGTCTCTGATTTCCGGGCTGAGCTGGGGTGGCTGCCGATTAGGCGACGTCGAGATTGCCACATTCTCTCTTTTCTCTATTCTATTCTTCACAATCCTGATGCCCCTATCTATCTCCGTGAACGCTTTGAATATCTGATTCCTGACGGCAAAGTTAGTCGACAAGCCACTTCTCTTCTTTTAAAAACTCCCATACACAGCTCTAGTCGCTATAGTGGCTCTTTCACAATACAAGCAGTGCGATTATGGAATTCTCTCCCTCAACCTATTCGTGCTAGTTCCTCTCTAGAAGTTTTTAAGAGTCAAATGAAGAAACATTTCCTGTCACTTTAATCGTATTTAAGTTATTGTTTTATGTATTTTTATTTATATGTATTTTTCATTTAATGTTAGATTATTTTTTTTAATGCTTAGTTAAAAATCATGCTTTATATTGTACACTATTCCCCTCTTATACATCGTATTTCTCTCTGATAATGGTTTGCTGGAAGAAAACTCATGAATGAGTTAAGCTCGCCTTTGTACATAGTATTTAGAATTCTTTAAATCTGTTTTTTATTGTATTTTCTTTTGTGTACAATAAGTATAAATAAATAAAATAAATAAATAAATACCTAAAGTTTTAAACTCTCCACTTGTGTGCTGAGATTGGATGTGTTAACATATCCAAAATCTGGAATGTCCTTTTCTTAATTAATAAGTATTAATATCCTCTTTTTCTATGTGTAAAGTATTCATCATCGGAACTTTCTTCATCGATTATTTTCATGGCGAGCGTCGTCCGTCTAATTGAACTTCGCAACATTGACTGAGCTTTGGCTTAGCTCTTGGTGTACACGCCATTTATTTCTAGCTTAGCTTAGCCTAGCTTGCTTAGCTTAGCTTTGGGATGGCTTAGTTTTCGGTCTGCAACCGGCTTAACCCAGGGCTGTCCAGACAAAGACCCGCGAGCCGGATGTGTCCCACAGCTTGTTTTCATGCGGCCCGCGACGCATGTTTTAATCAGAAAAAAGTTGATAATAAAGTTCTATGTCAAAACATATAATCAATATTTGGTATAATTTATCTTTATTCTTGTAACCTTTCATTCCGATGACATCATTTAAAAGTAAACCTATCCTTTACTATGATTGGGGGAGTTCTCAGAAAGTATTTAATACCCTGTGTTTTTTTTTACTTGAGCCCAGCTTTTGTAGTAAATTTAATTAGTCCGCAAAGGTATGAAGTTTGGACAGCCCAGATATAACTAACTCATAATGCGTTTGTAACACTAGCTCCAAAGTATTGCGCTAAAATGAGTAGGTATGCATAATGAAATTATTACGATGCTCATATTAGTATGAAATAAGCTTATATATATAAGGCCTTATACTAGTGGTTTGCAAACGACTGCGAAGCGAAGCGGATGTGCCGTGAACACATCGCAGCTGCACAACGCGGACGCGTGGCGGATACGCAACGTTTTTGTCGCGTATATGTAGCGAGTGAACGACGTACAATACACTCAGTAACGGTTTTGTTACTTCGAAGGCGAAAACGAAAGCATCGACGAATTTTGGAGGATCCATTATCAATAAATCGAATGGAAGAGAGCGACTACTTTGTGTTTTTTGGCAAACGAATAAAAAATAATCCAAAACAATTTCGCTTCTACCTACGAATGTTAAGAACTACATTTTTTTGAGTTGGTGTATTTGATACTTTACTATGGCATGAAGACACACGGATTGAAGTGAGGCAGGCCGGACGGGTTGGCGTTTTTACATAGAGTTAGTATTTTAGGTACCTACTTATTAACTCCATGCGTTTTTACGAGACAGCAGACAGTACAAAATGACGTCTACACTGCGCATGCGCGGCGCGGCGTGTACGTTGCGCGCCCGCTCCGCTTTAAGAATGATCGCACGAGTATAATAAGTATGATAAGGCCCTAAAATGTGTACTCATTGATTTTTAGATGATGATTCTAATTTTCAATACATTGAAGTCCTATTGTAGTGGTCCCATTGCGAATCTACTGGTTACATTGGTTTTATTATATAGGTTTTACTATTTATGGTATAGGAAATTATTTTAAATGAAATCACAATATGTACCTACATACATACTGTAAGGTAAAATAAATAAGATAATAAGAATTAATAATAATATAATAATAATTATTACAATTAAACATGCAGAATAGTAACAAAGTTCCTGCAGCTTGAAGAAAACCAAACTTACTACACGTAATAAAAACTAGTATATTGACTCATAGCTACCGTATATGACTTGGCCAAAAGCCCGTATATACAGTTCTACCGGCTCTGTCGACAGACTGAACTGAGAAAGGGGAAACCTATGAACGTAATAATAATTAGCAAGATTGACTTGAAAGTTAATACACTTTTTTTATTCTACCTATGCTGATAGCCTTGAGAGGCTATTTCAGATTCTCCTTGACGTGTAGGTGAGCTCACGAGGCTCAAACCGGAGTGTTGCTAACACTGGTCCTAGCAAGAGCAGTGCTTCGCAGAATCTACCACCGGATCGGAAACGCGACCCACTGAGAAGATCCGGCGAAAAATTCAGTGAGCTGTGTATTTGGGTTACTTTACTCGTAGTCCTTCGTCGCAAGCGACGGGTTCAGCGAGGACGGTGACCGGTGCTTGAGGTACGTAAAAGCACCGTTAATGGATCGGGAGGATCCGTAATGACGTGTTTAGGGCGACGTCAACTGTATACCATTTGGTCCACAGGATCGGTTATATAATTTCCGTGTGGGACAAGTGTATTTTTGTGTTGTGCCGCCTTCTCAAAGTGGCGCAATGATGCCACCTTCTCAAAGTGGCGCAATGATGCCAACTTCTCAAAGTGGCGCAATGATGCCACCTTCTCGAAGTGGCGCAATGATGCCGTATGGAATCCGGCTATGGAATGAGCTCCCCTCCACGGTGTTTCCCGAGCGCTATGACATGTCCTTCTTCAAACGAGGCTTATGGAGAGTATTAAGCGGTAGGCAGCGGCTTGGCTCTGCCCCTGGCATTGCTGAAGTCCATGGGCGACGGTAACCACTCACCATCAGGTGGGCCGTATGCCCGTCTGCCTACAAAGGCAATAAAAAAANTATGGAATGAGCTCCCCTCCACGGTGTTTCCCGAGCGCTATGACATGTCCTTCTTCAAACGAGGCTTATGGAGAGTATTAAGCGGTAGGCAGCGGCTTGGCTCTGCCCCTGGCATTGCTGAAGTCCATGGGCGACGGTAACCACTCACCATCAGGTGGGCCGTATGCCCGTCTGCCTACAAAGGCAATAAAAAAAAAAGAATGTAAATACTTACTGACCGATTCAAGCTTCAGATCATCATGGAGATCCATATTCCTTAAGAACCATGGTGCTCCGATAGCTATCTTACAAAAACGGGATTGAATGACTTGAAGGGGTTTCAAGTTGGTGCGGGCCGCGTGACCGAACACTACGCTTGCATAGGTCACGACGGGGCGTAGGCAAGTTTTGTAGTGTCACCTTATTACGAAGGGACAATTTACTTCGCTTGCAAATCATGTGATAGAGGCGTCCTAATATGAAGGCGGCAGGGTCGCGTACCGTTTTGATATGGGGTCGGAATGTCATCCCTGTCGAGGTGACGCTTAGTTATTTGACCTTCGAGGCCCGCGGTATGGGCTGGCCAGAGTGATGGGGCTAACAGCGGAGGCGTTAACCCGCCTATTAGGGAATGGGTTGCTCGAAGTGGTATTCGGAGGGCGATCCCTTTTGGAGAGCATCGCTGTGCTTTTCGTGGGATTGATGTCAATGCGCCACTTCCGGAACCACTGTCCCATAGTGGCTACTACAATCTGGAGTCATTAATACACTGAGGTAGATGGTTACAATACTTTTAATATAATAATTGTTAGTACAATTGCCTCACATAAATCTAAATCCTAAGTATTGGAGTTGTTTATTGAGTAATGGATTTTAGCAGTCAGCCATAATTCACATAAATACTATCTCATATTATCAACTACATTGCACATAATTCTATCTAATTCAAAGCAGGGATCAGCCTTTTGAATATTGCAAGTATTATTTTCCATTTGGTCCAACAATTCATTTGGCACTTTGAAATTTGATTCCAATTCATTTTGATCTGGTAAGCTTTGGAGAGCATTCTGTAAAATATCCTGTACCTTGTCTAAGTGTTTCTTGAATCTGAAAGAACAGACTTTATTAGCTCTTATAGTTATAAGATCCAGTTCCAGAATCCAGTTGGATTAGGTTCCATGGATACCAGCATCTTGTCTATTTTTTGCTTCAGAGAATTCACACATTAAAGCAAAGTTGAGCAACCATGGTCCCAATGGAAATTTAACGTGTAAGGTAACAACTGTCCATCCACAAAAACACGATGATAAACAACAAATAATTTTCTAGTTCAATCTTATGTTATAATATAGTATCGGTAAACAATATCTGCTAATTTCTTTTTTTTATATTAAAATATTTTTGTATATTACTCAAAACAGTTCAAATTTGGAAATCTCTAAAAAGTGCAGAGGGCAGATTTTGGTTTGAAAAAGATGATATGACATTATGAATACTAAAAATTTTTCATTGAGACAAGTTTAAGGTCTCAATTACATGGGAATTAATGAGCTTGTTTGAAAGTTTTTTTTTGTTTTAATTCAACTCCTGGTTGTGCTCAATCTGGTATTGTAACAAAGTAAAATGATAGCACCGATCTATATGCATAAACATTAGGTGCCACTAGTGATTAGACATTTTTATCTGTTACCACAGTACCTTCATGATTGAGATTCCCAGACATTTTGCCCATCAATGTTATGTTAATTTATTTATAATTAGTAGAACCTGAATAAATTTATTGTGTTTAATCTTACCATAGGCTGTTAAACACAAAGTCATATTAAGTTCTCCCAATGTTTGATATTGAAGCAGAATAATGAAAATCTGATTTGTAATGAGTTTAAATCAGACTTTCACATTACCACCCAATTAAAGATCATATTATAATGTTAAAGTCTAAAATAATAAAGGATAAGTCACACNAATTAGTAGAACCTGAATAAATTTATTGTGTTTAATCTTACCATAGGCTGTTAAACACAAAGTCATATTAAGTTCTCCCAATGTTTGATATTGAAGCAGAATAATGAAAATCTGATTTGTAATGAGTTTAAATCAGACTTTCACATTACCACCCAATTAAAGATCATATTATAATGTTAAAGTCTAAAATAATAAAGGATAAGTCACACAATGGTTATATCATGTGTGTGGCAAAAACATTACTTAAAAATTTATGTTGGCATCTTTTTTATTTTGTCATTTGTGATCTGAGATCTATCTTTATTTTCTAGAATGGTTCCTTGGTGTCCAGTATAGATATAGTAGAAACACCAACATATGACAAATTAACACTATTAATAGTACCTTGCTGCAGTTTCAACCCTCTGTCTTTTCTGCAATTCCATCATTACTCTCAATGTTTCTCTTGCTTGGTGTGGCCTAAATTCATTTAGAAGATGATGTATATGAATAAATAACAAACTTAGGTCTTCTACTTTTTCTGCTCTCTTTGGAGAATCTGGACAATGAACAAGCAAATCCAACAAATCCAGAAAATTTGCCAGCAGTGAATGGTTAAGTTTCTTCAATTCTCTTCTTCGTTCAAAATGCATAGGATACAATCTTCGAAATCCCTGAAGGAATTTTTTTACAACGAATTATTTACATAAACATTTGTGTTTGTAAACTAGTTGTTTTAGGACTTACCTGGCTTTCTAACGAACGTATAATAGCATCATCAGCGTTAAAAGAATTACCAAACATTGAATAAGAATCATGAATAGGTCGAGGTGGTAGAGGAGCTCTATTTCTTCTAACATTTTCATCCGTGTAAAAATTTATATATTGCATTGGAGGCAGAGGTAAAGAGCTAACTTGAGCTGTCTCTGACATTGTGAACCGGGAATCCGTACGTACGATTCTAGCAAACACTTAATAAAAACGGAATATGCCTATATTTACAAAAAAAGATTTACATACTCTTAAATATTGTGTTAAATTGAAGAAATTTATTTTAAAACAACTTTACACACTACAGTATGAAATGTATGAATTATTATGAGCTTTGTCTATGCTTTCTAAAAAATAAGTGTTTAATCTATGCTTTAGTATGCTTTTTTTGTTTGATTGGCCTTATGGATAAGCAAAGGGAACATAGCTCATATATTCCAATTTTTGCCACCAAGGTCGAAGGTGTTGTGAAAGTTAAATGAACTTCAATTTAGAGGTGAGTTTATGACAACACCGTAAGTGTGGACAAAATGAAGTGAAGTAATTTTTCGCTAAAATTCTGAGAATGTACTGAGTGTTCAATGAACCTTTAGAAAAAAAAAATCCCGAACTGATTTTTGTCGAAAGATTTTTGATGTTTTATAACCAAAAAGAAATTTCATGTAAACAATTTGGCTTTTATAAATAAAATAAAAAAGATGTTTTATGGGCTTTGTTCCTTTAGCTTTCGCAAGTCGTGGAGACAATTAACTATTAAGGATGTTACAGGAAAGATTGGCAACAAACTTAGGGGTGGGGTGTGTCTATAAAATCATTTAAAATGGTTTCATAAAATGTATCACACAAGAAAATCAATGAGTAACTAAGATCTGTTAAGTGTATTATAACTTTGCAAGATTCTGGTGTCTGGATTGAGCTGGATCAATTGGATTATAGCAGTAGGCTCTCATACAGAGGTAGGAGTGGGTGATATAAATCGTATATAGATTCAATATCTATATATCGCAGCAATATCGTTGAATCCGATATCGCCCCGCACGAAATCTATATATCGATATCAGCCGATACACGATATTGCTCGATGTGATGCGCATCGGCATATCGGACCGATTCGTGAATCGAAATCTATATTTCGATATCAGCCGATACACGATATTGCTCGATGTGATGCGCATCGGCATATCGTACCGATTCGTTAATATCAGCAATATTCGTTTGGTTCGTATCGAATCGGCCAGAGTGAGTGAGCGCACGATA